GCGCATAATGACAGCAGTTGCATGATATGAATAACTCAATAGTTAACCACGTCTTAATTAAAGGCAGTTCAATAATGCAGTGCTTTTTCAATTGACTCATTTTTGACAGTTCAAACCAGAAAGAGGAACGTGTGGATTAAAGAAAGATATGCATGTCAAAAACCTCCCCATTAGCTGTCAATAAAAGTTAGTGGTACTCGAAGGGATGGTGGGCCAGTGGTTGAGACAAACAGGGGACCAGCAGCCGAAGGAGCGAGCGTGTTCACGAGGGTGACAACCGCAGAGATGGAGCGATGAGATGGGTTACTGTGCAGCATTGAGATTGATATTTGTCAATTGTTACTGTGTTTAGCAAGAAACTATAAAACTCAACAGAATATCACCTGGTCAAATAAAGTACATTTTATTCACATTCCTTTTTATAAAATAACCTTTTTTGGGAGAAGGGGACAAACATCCTTTGGTAACAGGACATCAAAAGTGTGGACGCCACCAACTTCACTGGACTACTAATTAAAATCTGAATTAGTCTTCAAAATAATCTTAAATCACAACAGAAGAACACCTGCAAGTGCTATGCATTATTAAAAAAATTGTCATCGCTCATTGCATCAAAAACGTCACGTGTTTCTTGCTAACGTGAGCAGGTGACTTCCAGTGACGGAAACCAACCCATCGTTATCCAGTGTTACCAAACGACAGTTACCGATCCAAAGTCGCGCGTTGTCATCTCGATGAAGCGAAGAAGCAGAACGCCGCGGCCCAGCTGACTAACCTTTGTGGCGCTGTCTTAGCTCGCGCTGGTGGTGGCTCGTACGGGAGAGCTGTTTCCCCGCTCGGCGCTCGAGACGCAGCTGCTGGCGCTTCAGATGGTGCTGAGGGCGGCGAAGGATCCCGTTGGGGAGCTGACGGTTTTCGGGGAGGCGGTGCTCTTCCTTCTGGTCGGTGACGCCACCGAGCGGATTCAACTTCTCAACAGGTGCTGGCACTAGTTCAGGATAACGTTCAGTAACAGGAGCATATCGCGTGGGTGCTGCGGCCGTCTGGAACGCTCTTCTTTTCAATGTTGGGAAGCCGCTGGAGAGCTACGCACTTTCAAGCCATCTAAATTGAGCGGCTTTTTGTGTTGTGTGTTGTCTTTCACCCCACATCTCCAATTAGCACGGTTGGCTACGTACGGTGCAAAAGAAGTTCAACATACATAGATAATGGGCACGTGATGATGCAAGATTTAGATCCATTCTCATATGTGCTTAAATATTTGTAATTGGCTCATGTTATTTCATCTTATGATGAGGAAATCAAATATTATTGACCATTGTAGATGGGATGATGGTATTGTTGTTAACTGTAGATGTGTTGGTGGTATTGTTCTTAACTGTAGATGTGTTGGTGGTATTGTTCTTAACTGTAGATGTGTTGGTGGTATTGTTCTTAACTGTAGATGTGTTGGTGGTATTGTTGTTAACTGTAGATGTGTTGGTGGTATTGTTGTTAACTGTAGATGTGTTGGTGGTATTGTTATTAACTGTAGATGTGTTGGTGGTATTGTTCTTAACTGTAGATGTGTTGGTGGTATTGTTCTTAACTGTAGATGTGTTGGTGGTATTGTTATTAACTGTAGATGTGTTGGCGGTATTGTTATTAACTGTAGATGTGTTGGTGGTATTGTTATTAACTCATTGATTGCTCTTTTTATTTTCAGGACTTTGGCGCTGATGAATCAAGCATCTAATAATACTTTAGGAGTCTTTAGTTCCCTGGACATACCTACGAACGAAATGAATGCATTTAACCGTAAGTTCACGATCAGAAATATGTACAATTAAGTTTTTGCTGTAGCACCTGATTGTCAAGGCAACCATTATATTTAAATATATAAGCATAAATATTGCTAAAGGATTATCTTCACCTCAACAGCAATATACAAACTATGAAAAATGTGGTCTTATAAAATGACATAACATTAAAGCAGCAGAAATGTTTGGCACAGCTGTGGAGTGTGTTTGCAGTTGTCGTAAATTAATTAAATCACGGTTAGATCATATTCAATGGCAAATCCCTGTACATAATTTGTTGCGATGGCATTGTAGTCGAGTGCATTGCTATGAACATGTAATAGCAATGTACAGCCATGAATCAACTGGCTATGCGACACGGGATTGACTGTGCCATGTTGGCCATGAGGGTTAATCCACCGCAACTCCACGGAGCTGCGAAGTGTGGCTTGGTGAGGATAACGCGCCGTATATTTACGTATGTTGAATTTCATTCACACCGTACGTAGTCAACTGTGCTCACCGGAGGTGCTACAAAAAGTCCAAGCATAAATAGCCCGGAGCTTAGCGAAAGCGCTGTCATCAATTGAAGTTTTTCGAGTATTTCGAACAGAAATGTTCAAGGACAAAAACTAGTGCCGCATATGCCATTGTATTAAATGAGCCACATCCTTTCCGTCATCAAACACACCTGGCTATTAGACATTGGTTATCCCCATAGAAATCCATGGCACTATTCCTGTAGAAACAAATGAGCTTATACATATCCCTAAACACGTTCCTTCGGAGTGGGCAGGAAGGAACTTGGTTGGACAGCGCATTCGTGCACGACAGACAGACAAATAATCCCTGGTGGGCAGTGTGGAACTTGTTGTTCGTACCTGTGTGTGTAAAAGATAACTTGACTTTAGGTAGCCCCCTTAGGCCCCTCCCCTGACCACCCCCCATATCCTCAGGCCCCTCCCCTGACCCCCCTTCCCTTAGACCCCTCCCCTGACCCCCCTTCTGTTAGGCCCCTCCCCTGAGCACCCCCCCCCCCCATATCCTCAGGCCCCTCCCCTGATCCCCCTTCCCTTAGGCCCCTCCCCTGACCCCCTTTCTGTTAGGCCCCTCCCCTGAGCACCCCCCCCCCCCCATATCCTTAGGCCCCTCCCCTGACCCCCCCTCCCTCAGGCCGCTCCGCTGACAGCCCCCCTCAGGCCCCTCCCCTGAACCCCCCCCCTCAGGCCCCTCTCCTGACTCCCCCCTTCCTTAGGCCCCTCCCCTGACCCTCCTCCCTTAGGCACCTCCCCTCTCCGTACCCGGCAGTAGGTCTCCACCAATCAAAGAGCTGTTTGTAAGGTCTCCACCAATCAAAGAGCTGTGTGTATTATATATTTATTTATGCACGACAGACATACAGACAGTCAGACAGACAGACAGCTAAATATTCCCTGGTGGGCAGTGTGGAACATTGTTCCTCCCTGTATAATGGGAGACTAACAAACAGTTCTGCTACTTTACTGTTACGTCTTTAAAAAAAGATGCCTACGTCTGTTCTTTAAAGGCTAGATGATGCTCGTCTGTATGTACACACTTTCGTGGCATTGTGGGATTTTTTTGTCCACGGAAGCATGCGACGTCATTCTGCTTCACGTTTGTGAGGGCATGCTGTGTGACAAGGTGCGCGTGCTGCGGTTGAGCTGCTGTGTGACGAGACGTTTGGTGTGACCTGCAGAGGTGCTGGTGCGGGATCTGCTCAAAGATACCGGCAGCCTGGTGGAGCAGCTCCGGCAGCTGACTGGCCTCTCAGAGGGAACCATCGCGGCATTTCTCGGAGCTAAATTCACAACATCCCAGGTACCCGCCCAAAAGAAACAAGAGCACTGCAGGCAACGCGACCCTCACAAACCCCCCATTACTTACAAACCACACGGTATTATAAGTTTAACACGTAGGCTTTCGCGACCAATATCCATAATAGAGTTTTTTTGGGTTAGATCGGGTAAATATATAAATGTGTCGTTGAAGCCGCCACCACCCGACACAGCAAATTAGTAAGGTTTGGAGAGCAATTAACAACATTTACAGTCTGAGTACCGCGACGTTTCGCCAGTAATTACAACCAGCTTCATCAGGTGACAGCCAGATTTGTGGAGAAGTCCTCCTGCTTCGCTCCTTAAATAGAGGCGTAGATGCGATGACATCACTTGTGTCTCTTCTTGGGCGAAATGGGAGGAGGGGGGGATTATGAATGCGTATAAAAGACAATGGGTATACACAGTATTGATTCATAATTCGTTTATTTGGGATTACATTGTGTAGGTACAGTATCTTATCTTAACGGAATTTATATAGCACCTTAACCAAGGCACTTTACAAATAATTAAGAACGGTACAACGTGGCATGTGATGGTGGAGATGAGGTGAATGTGGAGGGGAAGTTTGTTTCAGTGAAGGGGGGCCACAAAAAGGTATATGGAATCGTGAGTTATTCCGTGTATTGCCTTACAAAGTCAGTTCGATAAATGTGAATCTGGGGAAATTTACCTTTTGACATTGTAGTTTATTGACTTCAACTTAATCGTGCTCCATTCAAAATATATATAATTTTTTGCATAATATTTATTTATACAGGAGGAATCCGACGAGCTTTAAAGCCCTTTTTCACAGATGTCCAGTCATAAGGTTAAAACGGTAACCTAATGTTGGTGGCAACCAACAATATGGGAAAGTCTCATTCGTATACAAAGACCAACGAATATTAATGAAAAAAAAATAGGCTTAACACTATCCGGCAATAAAACAGTTGTTATGATATTCAAACACCAAATAGACACCTATTTCAAGGAATAAAGTCTGCATTAACCACAAATGTTTTGGTAATATATACATTGTCTTTGCAACTGATTGACCTACACAAGAGACAGCCTTTTTATGGCCTTCTCTCACCAGTGTTAGACCAGAGAACGTACAAAAGACAACACATAGGCAACGCCCTTGCAATAGGCGTCCATTTGGTACTTGAACATCATGTTTGAACATCACACCTCCGAGTAGCATGTTTGGCTACGTAGGTGCGAAATAAGTTCAACATATACGTAAACACGCATCGGCTTCAGTGTTGTTTTTCCCGCACCTCTGAATGACCTTTTAAGTTCGACTTGCACACCTTATAAATGTTGTAATGAACGAATGCACAAATTTATTTCTTCCACGTGCGTGTTCTTCTTGGCAAGGTTTATGACCTGACGCCACTGATGATGCAAAGCGTGAGCCAAACGTGCAACTGAAGAGACCCTCACGCTGCTTCTCAAGTTCCCGGAGGGCACAAGCGGCAACGTCAGCCGTGATCTCTGCTCCCTGAGCCCACTTGCCTCCGTCAAGATGGTCATTACTCTGTTGGAGCACATCAATATCCGCAACGTCATTTACAAGGTAGGCCGCAGGCTTTTGTCTGCAAGGTACAGCACGCACTCACAAACTCCCCGTATCTGTGATCATGTCGAGGGCGGTATTGGACGGATCCTATTATCCGCATTTACCTGAGGAAATTGCTTCTCTCATTACTCGTTTTATCCACGCAGTTGTCTGGACACAAACGTGGCTAAGAGGGTTAATGCAGTACTATTTATATGGCTGACTCGGCTTCTCTGTGAAAAAATACAAACGTGTGTGGGAAGCCACTGCTAGTCGACTCATCTCAGGATAAACTTGGATATTAGAACAAAATCACCTCTGCTTCTGGATAAGCCCCTCTTATCCGTGAAAACACGTGGATGATGGGAAGAGTGGACGCATTTAATAGTGGAAGTTATTAAGGATACTGTAATATGTAAAGGATGGGTGAGACATTATTTCGTGGGATATTCTCATGAGTTCGAGAAGGGAATATCTGGTCAGCATTTGTATCCAGAATAAACTTGAACACCTGCCTGTCTAAGCGGTAGTGGCACTCATGGAAAAAAAAGGTAAATTATCATTCTCTTTGGGTCTTTCAGTAAAGTCACGTAGATAGAAAAATAATAAAATAAAATCACGACGTTTCGATCGCAACACAAGCAATCGTCTTCAGGTGAAAAAATACAGCAGGTGGACTGCTGAGGCAGGAAGAAATATGGCGAGAGAGCTGCTGCAGCCAAAGGTTAGAAATGTTTGAGATGGGTACAACCCAAGGGTAAGTGGGCAGGGCTAGAGATTACATTATCATTCTTGGACAAATTGTAAAACAATGTCAGGCCAGAGAGGAAAGATGCATGAAAGATTATTGAAAATTGATGTTGATGAAATTCATGGCCTGTGCTCGAGTGAGTGAATGTCAGCAAAACAAGACTGTGCAATGCTGTCGACATGAAGAGGCATTCATCGATAACTTTAGTATCTTATACACGCGTGTTTTGTGTTTTGCGTGCATGCACAATAGATGTGTTTGTTGTATGTAATTGCGTGTGTTCATGCATCATGTACATTTTACAGATGCTGACTCCCCAGATACTGAAGGACTTTGAGAACCTCCTGTTAATAGTGGTTGACAGGCTGCTAATGATAATGCAAAAGGTAGAGCCATTCATGACGACCTTGCCACAACTGCTGGATGCGGTGAGGCAATTGAACATCAGCGACATAATGCAGTCATCCCAGGTAACGCCTCGCTCACACTGCAACAGCCTCTGTGGCCCGCTCTCAACAAATACACACGCTTACTCGAAGAGAATTGTTCCTCACTACACATGGCATCTTTCCCTTCAATATCTATGTATTGTAAAGATGTGTGGCTTATTTAATTCGAGTTTAGTTAATTGATTCTATCTATAACAGACCCTTCTCCAACGGTAAATGAGAATGTATACGTTAGAAATGTATTGCATTATCAAGTAAAAAAATATCACAGGTCAAGCTTATTGTGAATAGCATATTTTACAGGCAGTGCAGAGTCCCAACGCTGACAATGGTTCCATACTTTTATGGCCGTGAGCTGGCTGGAAATTCCTCATTTCTATGGCGGAGACGAGTGTTTCAATAGAACAATCGCCTCATTCAGGTATTATATCAACTAAATATGGATGGCCACGAGTGATGTAACTTATAATGATGTTCTAGAATGGCAAACATCGCACAGTGGCACTGTGGTGGGCAGATGCCTCCACACGACGCCGTTTTTTATATTCCGTCAACCCTGGATGGACAGAGGATTTTAATTTTACCCCTCACCTGGAATTGAATTCGCAATCTTGGATTTGTGAGTCGAGCCACTCTGCAACGGTGGCACCAGACTGAAAAGAATAATAAAGCGAGTGAATCAATTAAATACGCATTTGAAAGGGGTACTATAATTGGAGGGAATAATAAGGATCCATGATTTGTGAGTGTAACCGTAACGTACTTCTACCCACGGGGCAAACAGGGCTCCCGCTTCACCGAGCGCTGCGCGGTTCTCTGTCCAGTCCCCAGGTGCACGGCAGGCGAGAAGCACAAACACTCAGTCCCTGAGTAAACTCTCAAAGACCTTCTGCGCTGGGACCACCCAGAGGATGTTGGCAGACGTGAGGATGGCCAATCTTCCCACCCCATTACCATCATCATCGCTCTCCCCTGAAGACTTCAAGGCTAAATATAACATCCCCTACGGCACAAGTGAGTTGGGGGACGTTTGGCGGAGGTTACGTAACAAATGGGATATAAATGGCTATATGATTCTCAACTATGTGAATCGTGGAGGTAGAGTGTATTGTTACGATAATCCCGCACCACGCAACAGAACCAATCAATTCACGTTGTCACGTGGGCAAATACGCCAATTGATTTGGTTTTTCAGCAAAAAGGGAGTGTTGAAAAGAAAAATGTTGACAATTTTATACAGCGTTGCGCTGGAGAATACACCCAACATCATTGGGTGTTAACAGAAGCTCAGCGCTCATGTGGCTATGAGTAGTTGATTTATTATTTATGTATATGTATTTTATTGAGCATACATCTCCCTTATCTCTATGGAATATTGGCACTTTTGGTCTTTGTGAGCGCATGTGGAGGTGTCAATCGCATTGGCCACGATACATTATTTACATGCAACTAGAAGTGCATTAAATGGTATCAGAGTTTAGTTTCGTTTGCCCTGCTACTTGAAGGACCTAGCCCTAACCCGAACATTACCACACCTTACCTCATGTTGTCACAAGAGCAATAGTGATCGGACTAAGATGAATCAAGAACGAGAAGATTAACTTTTAAAGCAGCCTGACAGCCTTCCTCGTCGAGCCCGTTGCCTTTTGGGGCATCGGGGCCTGACTCCTCTCTGTCCATTGCTGCATCTTTCAACCGAGACAGCTTTCATCTCGTCTCTTGTTCAATGTTCGGCCCTCAGTGATTACCTCGTGACGTGTTCTACCCCCCCCCCCCCTCCCAAGGCCCCTACTGTCTCGATGTGTACACGGACATCATTCATGGCAAAAACGGCGAAGTGATTTGGCGTTTCTTGAAGCCGCTGATGTTGGGGAAAATTCTGTACACGCCCAGGAGTGCAGCGACCGAACTGCTCATCCGCACGGTGAGGCTGCATCCCCCCGGGCGCTGCAGCACACCACGCCTGTCGCCTTCGCCAAAGAAGTGTTCAAAATTATGTGAATGAAATCAATATTAAATTAACTTCCTTGCAGTGATGTAACGGTTATCATGCTGGACTTGCAATCCAGAGGTTCACCCGTTCGATCTGCTGGCAGTTGGAAGAATGGGCAAGTGTCTCAAATCTCCCCACCTCTGTCCTCCCGGCAGTTTAAATGGGCACCCGACATTTGATTTTGCAGGTCACGTGGTGGTGGGGTAAAGTGTGGGTACTCCAAACTGTTCGATGACGTCTGGCCAGCTTGGAAGAGTAGGACTCAAAATACCCTGCAGAGATGCTCTAGAGAAGAGCTCTTACTAGCGAGAGAAGCGCTCTCTAGCGAGAGAAAGAGAGAGAGCTAGCGAGAGAAGCTCTCTCTCTAGTGGACGGCCTTCTGCCAGCAGTGAGCGAGCAATTGTAGGGCTGCACCTTTAAATAAATCTCGAATTTATTATGTAGTGAAAGAAGTAAACATTTAATCATATCCTGTTTTATGCAGCTGCAGTAATAGTTAATAAACTAATGTATCAAACCATTTGTTTTGTTATTCTTTGTCCCTAAACACGTGTACCTAAACATGTGTACTGATGTATAGTTTCAATGTTTTGTCATGTGCAGGCCAATTCAACATTCCAGAAAATGGGGGAATTAAGCAGCTATGCCCAAGAATGGTTGCATGCCATGGGTAACCAAAATGCCAACTTGCAGATCCAACAATTGGGAATACTGAAGGTAAGTTTAATTTGATCTCGGTGCATAAGCAAAGTAAAACGCTGAACTAAATTATTATTCTGAAGAAAATGTGCTGAAATATATGCATTCATGAAGTATACGAAAGGTAATCGTAGAGTATTGTTTAGTTGTGATACATTTTATGACAATTATGTTGAGGTAAATGTGGTTTTGATGATCAAATGTGTCCAGCTATTGTAGATGTGATTTCCTGAGTGTGGTTTTCTTCTCTTCCGTGTCAGAATGCCCTGGCAAATCCCTTCGTACAAGGCTTCATCAGAAGTCAAATGAACATAAACATGACAAGCTTCATGCAAAACTTAAAATCTTTTGGTAAGATTTTCTCAAACGGTCTGAAAAGCTTTACATGTATTTTAATCCGTACTTTACTGTATTATTTTGTTTTAGTATATTATAAAGAAGTAAAGTGTTAGGTACAGGTTTTAAAATATGGATACAACATTTTGAAATGTCTCATTGCGATGAACCATTTATATGCATGTCATGAATCGCTAATTCCGTTTTCATTACGATTCACTTGGTTACAATTATTATAAAATGCAAACATTTTACCAAATAAGTACTGTTTTTTAAAGTGAAAAGGAGAGGAAAATGTAAATCATAATTAAAAAATAATTATGCTTTATTTCAAACATTGCTTACCACTTAAGAGCAGGAAGATATTGCAATGTACTGAATAAATAAATTTAGGATACAGTGGATGTAAGGAGAGGTTGTTTGTTGCTTTGTACAAGTGGAATAATTTTCCCTCCTTTCAGTTGGAACCCCAGTATATCTAATTTTAAACACTAAAGCAAAGACCACACGCCTTGCATGGACTCTTTATCCTTTCTAACACCCATAGTAGCACTTTCCTTTGGAACATTCCATTAAGATGATGGTGAATGTGTTAGCAATCAGTTTGCCTGTGTGCGCTACGAATCCAGTGACCCGAGTTCGATTCCCACTCACAGCCAACACCAGTGACGATTATCTGAACCACTCCTGGGCTGCCTCTCGGTTGACTCAGCCTCAAATGAGAATCTGGTGTGGTGTGTGGGCATGGTGTTGGTCACCCACCCCCTCGTGAGTACTGTGCCGGCCTTCATATGTGCTTTGCTGAACAGCACTTGCCCTAACAGTATTAAGGCTAAACAGGGAATCGTTGTCCTTGTATCGCAGAGGAGCTTGGAGTTCAACTCACTGACACTACAATGGATAACTTGAAAACGCTTTCCACGCTCATGGTGAACATCTCATCGTGCGTGGAGCTCAACCGCTTTGTGCCGAGCGATTCTGTGGAGGAGCTCAACAAGAGGGCCATTGGACTCAACAAGGAGAACAATCTCATGGCCAGTAAGTCTGCACACTCTTCGGGGAGATGCTCTCCTGAGTCAACACCACCTCTTTAACCCGGAGCTACATGACGAAGCACTATTCTCGTTGCTAAAACGGCACATTGTGTGGGATTTTCTTGCCATATGCTTCAGCTAAAAGTTCGCCAGTCATGCTGTTTGCCTTTCGAATTCACACAAGTGATACTTTTAGGGTGACACAATTCGCACTTTCATTTACTGAATTACTATGGTAATGCAACAACATTGTCAGCAAACGTGAATGTGTCGCTCCACTCAATAAATAAAGCAAATACGCACGGTACAACTCACTTAGTCGCTGTTGTTTTCACTGCAATAATGCTACTTAATGAATTATTGCTGGTCACAAATACAGTACCCAAGAAAACAATCTCAGTGCTCAATTGTACAGTGGAGTTTTATGAACACTAACTCACTTGTGGCACTCATACCAGTTATATGGTCAACGGGTACTGATGATAAATTATACTCCACTACGGTTACAGTAATAACATGTCACATGATGATTATTATGGTGCAATTTTGCATACTGACTGGTCTCCATGTGGACATTGTAATAAATCTCAAACATCAGGCACTTTCTTTAAGTACTGTAATGATCACATGTGCCAAAAACTGATAAAGCTTATCTCCCGTAAAAAGTTGTCAGACTCATTGAAGCTTCCAGGGTAATTAATTGTTCTTTATCATTATTATTACTACTGCGAAATGAGTGTCAGAAATTTCAGTCACCAATACATAGCACAAATAATTACAGACTAACGGGAAAGCCATCGTGTGTCTTTCGAATCTACACAAGTCGTATGGATTTTTCTTCGGGTGCCTTTGGTTTTTCCCTCCACATTTTTTAATGTAATGGCTGCGATAAGTTTCCACGTGATCATAAGCCACTTCGTAGAGCTATCATTGTGGCCCAGGTCACTTCTGAAAAAATATCTATACAGCTCAGTGGGCCTTACCTGGTAAAATATAATATATAATTTATTTTAATAGTCTATGTCAGTTCCACGGTGGCGACCGCACAGCGGTTTGACTGCGGTCCGCCCATCCGAAAGGAGCTGGAACTGCCGTGCGGCCCTGCACTTCAAACATTAATCTCTTACGTTGTTGCTCCGCAGGTGTTATCTTCCACCTCCCTGAGGCACAGAACCGCTCCCGTCGTGCCGTCTCAAACCTCCCGCTGGCCACCCACCTCAACTACACGCTGCGGCTGAGCATTCAGAACGTGATGCGCACAGACTACCTCCGAGACCTGGTCTGGGTGCCGGGTCCGCACACCAACCAGAATTACATGTACTACACGCACGCCTTCCTGCCCATCCAGGACATGCTGGAGCGCGCCGCCATCTCCCTGTACATCGGGCGGGATGTCAGTGAGCCGGCGCTGCAGGTGCAGCCCATGCCGTACCCCTGCTACACGGACGACTCGTGAGTGGAACGCATGGCGCGTGCCTCTCGTAGGCCGATGCAAAACCATCATGAGCATTGCCGTGGGGAACGAAATAAACAATCAAAGGATAAGTATCCTTCGTAAAAAAATCTGTTAGCCCGCGTACACATTTTAAAGTCTTTACAACACTTCCAGTCAATCACAGGGCACTTCTGGGAGTAAACTATTTCAATGCATGCAAACTCTGGACCGGTTTCAACATTTATGATCTACATCAGCAGTAAGGCTAGCTTGAACCGAGATCAGTTGTAGGTCAAAGCCTAATACTTTCATTTTCAGTAGCACATACTGCATGCGAGGCTGCACAGTTGAATCGGGTAGAGCCCTGGGTTAAGACTCTACAGCAAGTACTCCAATGTGTCTCTGCTACCTTACGTCATCATTTTAATTGGCACATTTGCTGAGGTCATCAAACTTCCCGTGTATTGGTGTATTTTATTTTATTTTAAGTCATACTGGGTCTTCAACTTCCAATGTCAAGCATGCTCGATTGACAAATTGCCAAGAACGCCACTAGTCTATAACTGCAGAGTTGCCGATCCACGTCAAGATCGGCTAATCGTTTTTTTTGTTTAAGTTCCTTTGCCGTAATGGCTCATGCGTCCACACTTTGTGACTGCACGTTGAGTGATCATCGCCATGTGCTTGGCCGTGTGCTTGTGGATGACGCGCAGGTTCCTGCACAGCGTTGGTTTGATGTTTCCCATCCTGTTCATGATCGCATGGATCCTCACAATTGCAAGCACTGTCAAGTTTCTGGTTCAAGAAAAGGAACTCTGCCAGCAGGAGGTAGGCACTTATAATTATTATAATAAAAAAAATAACTGTGCTTCATCACCTAACTATGCAATACTGTTACATTGATGGCTACGGGTGAAACAAAGTGTCGATTGTTTAAATGTTAAATGCATTACATTGTGCATGGCGAATTAATTACAGTTTCTAACACGAAAATGTTACCTTTAGGCTTATGGCAGAAACAAAAAAACAGAATACCAGATAAGTAACACAAACGAGAGAGTACAAACAAGACCAAACAACAACCTATGAAATTGTCAGGCGATTAATCGTCGGCATGCGGATTAATGTCACGATTCCGGGCTGTGGTCCGGTTCACGAATCGGCTGGTTTCGTTTACGCCGCGGTGGCAGCCATTGGTGTCCCTCACCAATGGCTGCTCCCTCTTCGCTTCAGAGCAATCGTTTCGCGAGCAGGGTACGCTGTAAACATAGTTTGTCTAGAGTAGGCACTTAAATGGTGGCCATCAGCATGTAAAACAAAATAATATCACAATTTGTATAATTATCTTAGCACGTTTATTGTCATTGTATCATTACCAATGCTTGTAACAATCTTGGGATGTAGCAATAGAATGTTTGGGTCAGCGGCGTTGACCCTGCGTCACGTGACGCCTCTCTTGACGACTACCAGCGAGTGAACAAGCGGTGACGCGGCCAATCGTCCACGCCGTCTGTGCTAACCCCACACCTCGCCCCGCGTCCGTCACAGTACATGAACATCATGGGCGTGCGGCCTGCGAGCCACTTCCTGTCGTGGCTGCTCCAGAGCTGCGCCCTGCTGCTGCTCATGGTGATCCTGCTCACGGTCATCCTGAAAGCGAGCGGGACGCTGCCCAGCACCAACTGGGCACTTCTCCTCGCCCTCTTCCTGTGCTTCGGCATTTCCGTGCTGGCGATGGGGTACATGCTGAGCGCGTGCTTCACGCACACCAACGTCGCCTCCCTCACCGCCTGCTTCATCTACCTGCTCAGCTTCTTCCCGTTCCTGGCCCTCTCGAGCCTCACGCTGACGCTCACGCGGTGGCAGAAGTCGCTCATCGTGAGTACACGCCCGCGGTGACGAGAGCGCGCGCGTTGCACTGCCACTCACGGGGTAAAGAGGGGCGGCGGTCGTGCTCGTGTGTTGAGGCGGCGCTGCTGAAGGTCCCGGCTTCTAGACGTTCAAGCTCTAGGCAGTGTGGCTAGTTTTGCACTCCCTGCCAAGTCACAAAAGGCTGCACGTTGAATCGATCGACTGCACATAATTCTATCAAGATAGTTAATCAGAAAACATGTGCCAATTTAGCCACAATCACCTGCTCAGCTAGAGAGCAGATTAGTGGTTGTGGTCTAAATCGACCTGTGAACGATATTCGACTGAAGCCGAAAATATCCCTTGCAAATTGTTCCCAGCATCACGTGTGGCCTTTTCAGGGTCCCCTGTGCGTTGTTACGGGGTTCCGACAGGACTTCGGAGTCTACGCACGGTCCACAGAGTGCCACGAGATTCACGCTCCATAAAGGGATAGAACATTGCGTCCCGTCTGCATACAATACCAGCCAACATCCATCACTGCGTGTTCTAGACTAGCTACAATTGGAGGCCAAGTGAAATGTCAAATACTCTCTGTCAGTATGACACGTAACAGACCTGAAAACTGGCACCTACCCACACCCGCTGGTCTGACTTCATCCAGTGCCAGTATTAATATTGCCCTTCAGCGTTTACAAGCACAGAACCCTACCCACTGTAGTGATCGTATGTATGGGTTCCTCAGACCAGCAATAACAGTGAGAACCTCTGCACTAGGATATGCACATAGTGAGCTATCACTTATCAAAACACACATTTTTCTAGTAATGAATTACACCTGTGTTGTGCATTATTAGCAGTAGCATGCTGTGCTGTAAATGGCTTTGCTTGCGCATTCACCAGAAAACATGAAAACAACAACCAATAGGCACAGAGACATTTTCCATATTTTGTGATTCACATAAAATCAACATTTGCTACCCTTTCTCAAACCACTGCTGGATGAAGGCTTACCCATGCCACATAATTCTTGATAGTTTGTTTGATCATAGTAGCTTACTTTGCTGGTCATAGTGGGTTGGGTCTGGAACTGGTTCAAATATCACTCACCGCTGACATTAGCCAAGGTGAAGATTCAATCTTAAGTCCGCTCACTGCGCAGCTTGATAAACATTGCACCGCCACTCCCCCCCGCACCCGAATCAGAATGACACTACCGTACTCCGTGAGTTACAGTAGTGGGGAACTAGCCCAGCACGCTGGACCATGAAGATGGAGCGGTACTCATCTAATAAGATAAACACAGCCTCAATGTCAGGCTCATTAACCAGCCACAGTTAGGGCAATGACTTGACCATGGCCAGTAATTATACAAAACAATAGCATTTGGATTCATAGAGCATCTTATACGCAACTATATCTCAAGACATGACTGCCGGCACATCTCAAGACGCTAATCACGTTTTCCTTGCTCTGCAGTGCCTGCTATCACCCACGGCGTTCAGCTATGCAAGTCAGCTGATGGGTCACTTTGAAGATCAGGGTATCGGTGAGTGACCCTTGACCCCCCGAGGGATTGCTTGACAGTTCCCCAGGCGGTGCCTGTTTTAATTCGTCGCACCTTCAAGAGATGGTCAAAAAAGTTTCGTTTAAAAAAAGGGGAAAACTAAAATTAAACTCACAAGGTACTTTCTAGAGGTTCTAGTGTATTATGTCCAAATATCAAACAAAATGCTGGGACACATATGATTTATGTGAGAGAAGAGTATATGTCGCTAAAAAAATATCCAGGAAACAAAGAGATCATGCTGCATAACCTTTGCCTGTGTAAGTATGCCTATGCTCTGACTGCACTTTAGTTTGTCAGCAAACCTGATTACCCAGCGCTGCACCTGTATTGCCATGAGAACTCTACCCACATGTGTGTGTGGTGTGTTTTCGTGTGTGTGGTGTGTTTGCGTGTGTGTGTGGTGTGTGTGGTGTGTTTGCGTGTGTGTGTGGTGTGTGTGGTGTGTTTGCGTGTGTGTGTGGTGTGTGTGGTGTGTTTGCGTGTGTGTGGTGTGTGTGTGGTGTGTTTGTGTGTGTGTGTGTGTGGGGTGTTTGCGTGTGTGTGTGGTGTGTTTGCGTGTGTGTGCACGCAGGCGCCCAGTGGAGCAACATGTACCAGTCACCCTTGTATGGGGATGACATTTCGTTCGCCTACCTGTGCTGGATGCTGATAATTGACACGGCCATATACTTCATCGTGGGCTGGTACATCCGCAACGTCTACCCAGGTCAGTGTGACACTGTGAGCGGCAGAGCGTACAGGCCTCCACCCTCTGAACGGTGTCGTTGGCTTTTTAGATTGGTCCACCTGTCCAAATTATATTACCACGTTCTGTTGCTGTATAATATTTAGACCGCGTGATCGACTAAAACTAGGCCTTTTATAATTGGTACGTTCGGTAATATCACGCACCTATGCTGAAACTTTGCAACAAAACTGTGTACAACAGTAGTGTGCATACCACGAGATTGTGACATGCTAGGAACTCCAAACAAACGTAACACGGCAGGTGCAGCACCCCACAGTGTATATTCAGCATAGTTTATTGCATACGCATTGCAAAACAATCTATTGCAAGAAATACAATGAGCATAGCAATATCGAGCATTTGGAAAATACAGCATGGACAACACAGTGTAGGAAAAAATGAAGTTTCAATTATTGCGGAATAAAGCACACCATTACAGCAAACACATATAACAGATTTTAGCACAGTGAAATTAATAAATTGATGTAAAACAGGCTGAAATGTAACACGTAAATACAATTCCAATTTGAAAAGCACCTGAGTCTGATCGTTTGTTACCGCACACTGTTATGAATCCAGTCCATCACAAATGTGCACTGCACGTAGCAACTCTAAATTCAACATTAATGTTTCATAACGAAACAAATCAAATACAGTAATATTATAGTGCACGCAATACCAGGTAAGGTCCACTGAGCTATATAGCTCTTTTTCAGAAGCGATCTGGCCACAAATGATAGCTCAACGAAGTGGCTTATCACGTGGAAAATTATAGCAGCCAAATACCCTAAAACGCAAGTTTCCAAATATGGAGGGCATAACCGAAGGACCCGGAGAAAAATCCACACAACCACGGGGAGAGAGACACGCCAACTCCAAATATACAGCAGGCGTCATGGTCTGGATGGAACCCACGACCTCCTGCGTACCAGGCGAGGTAGTTAACATCTCGTCACCGTGGCACCTTTTGTGTTTTCCAGGGACGTATGGGCTGGCCCGGCCGTTCTACTTCCTCTTCACGGTGAGCTATTGGCAGCAGGTGTGTTGCTGCGGATCTCGTCGGAGGCCCATGGGATACCTGGCCAGAAACATGGCTCACGAGTCACCCGCTGACTCCAAGACGGACGCCAAGGGTAAGAGAATACTTACGGTGCTTGAAGACTGTCGTGAAGATCATAAATGTTAGACTGGGTCTGCCGTGATTCTCCAGTTGATATGTGTTTGTTCGGCCATTGACTCCTGATGTGTCAAATTATAACCTGCCTTATGCATTTGCGGATTTCCATTTCCAGGTCTCAACCTTCAAAAAGAGACTTGCAGTCTTAATGTGCTCTCACATGTTTTGAACGGAGGTCATTGATTTAGTTAATTGACTGAATGTATCAAATCATAGCCTCTTGTCCATCTCCTGATGGGTGAAGGCCTCCCCATACTGTGTCAGTCGTGGGAGTCGTTTGACCATACTTCACCACATTTGTTGTATATCACTCACCGCTGATCTCAACCATGGCCAGGAATCACACTCAGATCACGTGGTTTATAGCACAGAGCACTGAGCGCTGTACCAGCGCTCTGCCGCAGAATGTTTAAACTTGCTTTTAATGTTTTTTTTTTGCAAATAGTTAAGCATTTGTGCTTATGTCATGTCTGCATGGTGTTGGTATCGCTGAATGTGACTCCTACTGCATCTGAAGGGCAATTCACAGCCTCAAACACGCTGATTGTTCAGTTGGCAAGGTGAGAGCGATTCATAAGTGGTGAGACCATTGATCAGATGTGCCACGCGTCACAGTGACGTGTTTTCTCTAGAGTCAGGCCCTAAAGTGTGGGCAGTGTTGACTGAATCTGTGTTTGGCAAAGTTATTTTTGACGTCAAGTTACAATCGATGAGCAGGCCACTCTCAACCGTACATCGCCAAAACAGACCGCCTGTTCATTAACTGCTCTTGTATATCCATCATTGTGACTTTAAACTGCTACAAAGCATTGAACCATCTTGCCCCAGCCTAGATCATTGACATGCTGCACTCATTGGTGTGGGGATGTGGGATGCAGATCTTCTATGCATTCCCAGGTCGAGATTTTGCTCTATGGCTGACCCAGATTTTCCCCATGTAGCTCCCAGGCTATGGAACGCTTTTCCACGAGACATCAGGATCTCTGAGTCTGTGGACATTTTTTTAAATGCGCCTTAAAACCTATTTATATGTTTCCACTTATTAAACTCTTAGTTAATTTAGTAAATTATTCTTAAAACATATTTATATTATTATTTATGCCGAGTGTCTGCTGCTGCTTTTCTGTACAGCGCTTTGAGATCCGTGATGAAAGGTGCTATGTGAATGTAATGATTATTATCATAACTTCACGTTCGCACAACGTGAGAAGTAGTTGTGACCGGTCAGAGTAGACCGTGCTTCGGGGGATGACGGAATGCCCGCGTACGTCTCCGCTTGGCGCACCAGATGGCAGCATGAGGCCGCAACTGGAGGCGGTTCCAGCGGGCTTGACAGCCGGCGTGTCGCTGCGCTCCCTCACCAAGCAGTACAGCAAGGGCAAGAAGGCTGCTCTCCAGGACCTGAGCTTGGACTTTTATGAGGATCAGATCACCACCCTACTGGGCCATAACGGAGCTGGCAAGACCACAACCATGTGAGTTAAGAGGAGTTTTGCTTCTCACGAGGCATCATCCAGAGCATGCTTAGGGCTTACAACACTTCTGAAGAGGGGTGGCAAGATGCGGGCAGAGTAGTACGCAAGAAGGGGTCACTCTTTAGTTGATACGCTGGTTGATAACCACTCGATTAGTCAAAGTCAAATTGGTTTCCCGCTCAATTGAGTATGGCGTGACGTTCATTGCCCCTTTACAGCCCCGAGCCAGTGTGTGAATTCCACATTCTAGATTTGAAGCTTTCGTGACTGCAAGGATTCATACTCTTAGTTCTTTCGGTAAAGTCACGTAGGTAAAAAATGAAATTAAAATTAATAAAAAAATAAAATAAAAACAATAAAATCACGACGTTTCGGAGGCAACACAAGCTTCCGTCTTCAGGTGAAACTGTCACAGCAAAATATCTGTATTGATACAGCATTGATACAGATATTTTGCTGTGACAGTTTCACCTGAAGACGGAAGCTTGTGTTGCCTCCGAAACGTCGTGATTTTATTGTTTTTATTTTTATTTTTATTAATTTTAATTTAATTTTTAACCTACGTGACTTTACCGAAAGAACTAAGAGTATGAATTCCACAATCCTTTGGCGAACGTGAGTCTTCCCACAGGACACCCGCTGTTGAATTTGCCCCAAAGTTGACACTCATGTAGTTCATCCCATGAAGGCTCGAGTGGACCCTCAGCTGGGGTTCGAACTCTCGTAACGTTCCGATTGCAAACCGCAAGCCTTCTCACTGGTGCGAGCTGGCCAGTAGTAGACCTTCAAGGCCTGGATTTGTTGTATTTTGTTGCGGTTTCTCTCGACGTGATACGTTTGCCGCCTATGTTAAGCATTTCACCTCCACTAAGAATGCCATTTTAACATGCGTGCCACCAATGTCAGGCCTGCAATGAGTGCTGAGTTCATACTTGCACACAATAAATACATCCCATGTGAGTGTGAATTGTTTAACAACAACAAAAACGTGTGAATCTGCGTTATAATTATATGAAAAGTTCTGTATTTAAAGTGGGAATAATAATTGGTTTGATTGCCAATCAAACACATTGTTGTATTCAACAGGGGACATCTGAACAAGTCAAGGTTGTTTTGAGTATTTTCAGATGGACATTTTAGTTATGAATATCACGTAACTTCATATATGTATACTGATATTTGATTAGCAAAACTATGTTTATAAAATGTAAGCTCACGTTTTATAAGGTGACGTTTTTAGGGAAACTATGTTCAGGCATGTTTATTGTTATTGTAAGTGCATTGTAATGTTATTGGTGAAATGGCATTTCTAGAAAGATGCATTGCCTGTAAACGAATGTTTTCAGCGTGTAATTCCTCAGCTCAGGGCTTTCTAAGCTCCATTCTTCAACTCCACACTCTCCATTCTTCCCGTTCAATTGTCATTTCCATTTGTCTGTCGCCCCTGGAGAGCTTCCCAGTTCCCATTCTCGGAGGGGCCTCTGAAAATCCTTTGGCAAATGATTCTTGCAAAGAGGTTGTTATTCTGGTGACTTTGCAATGAGGGTATTGGGGTCTCTGCTTAGCGATTAAAACATATACATGCAATTGTTCATTAGGAAATGCAAGCATTCGATTATTGATACAAGTGGAGATCTGGGTTTGAATCCAGGCAGTTGGCTGTGATTAAACTGGGTTCTCAAAGGTAGTGAGTCAATCACAGCCTGGTCACCAATGATCTCAATAATAATAATAGAACATTCTAGAGCACTGGAATATTGCAAAGCATTATAAGGGTGCTGGAATAAATCACATTACATTTGGTTCAGCACTTAATTTCCTGAGAATGAAATATAGTTTTTACTGTCATGTGACACACGTTACCCCCTACTGTGCGCACCAAAGATAAAACTGGAGGAACATTTGAAAAATAATGAAAAAGATCAAGTGTAAATCTGCACCATGGTAGTGTGCAAGCTATGGGAGTTGGAACTCCGGCACAGATCAGTGGAGAAACGCAATGTCTGAGCACAAACGATGGCTAAAAAAAACTTATTTTTTTAGTTTACCGGGTAAGACCAACTGAGATATATAGCTCATTTTCTGAAGCCACGGGGCCACAAATGACAGCGCGAAGAAAGTGGCTTTTCACGTGGACATTTATAGCAGCCAAATACTATAAACGCACGTTTCCAAATGTGGAGGGAAAAACTGGAGGACCCGGAGAAAAATGCAAAGTGATCAAGGGGAAGGAGAGACACGCACACTACTAATAAACAGCAGGCGTCAGGTTCAGGATCGAACCCACGACCTCGTGTATACCAGGCAAGGGAGAAAACATCTCGCCACCGTGGAGGGTGAACCTGGATGGGCCTAAGGGACTTTAGTAGAGCAGTGCCCACCCCAGAATTGCCTAGTGCCAAGTCTCTCACGGGGGGTACATTTTATGCCAGATTCTGCACACCAGGCGAGATGGTTAACACAATCACCACCACGCGGCTCGCCGCAGGTCGCTGCTGATGGGCCTGTACGAGCCGAGCAGCGGCTCCGTGCACGTGGGCGGGCGCGACGCGCGCACGGACATGGCGGAGGTGCGGCGCCAGCTGGGGGTGTGCCTGCAGCGTGACGTCCTCTTCCCGGCCCTCAACGTGCACGAGCATCTGCTTCCTCTACGGACGCCTCAAGGCGCTCGGCTGGTCACGGCAGCGGCTGCAGCAGGAGGTGGACACGTGAGTCGTCGCGCCGAGCCGTCGCCCGCCGTGTGAACGAGCGTGAATGTGGATGCGGTGCCGGCGAGCTGGGCCGTGCGCACATTGGCACCGTCGTGATCCTGCAGTGAAGCCGATTTCACTTTGCGCAACCCCTGCGACAATCGCCTAAGTTATAATTCGCTTCGTTTTGTTGGGATTTTTCTTTATAAAGCAATAGTGTAATCTTGTCAATCATCTAATATCAGTATTGAAACAATGTTCAAAAGCAATAAATGGCCTTAGGTCATGTGTTAGTCGTTTATTTGCAGTGATTTTTGCCATCGCTGATATTTTCTACAACTTTGGCTGTTTTTCTGTCATAATTCTGCTGAAAAGTAGATTTTGACTAAAGCATGAATTTGGTCCCAAATCTATTTTACACGGCAGCCTTGCAGAAGAGCCAGTGCTGTTCACTTGACAAGTGCGTGTGGCTTAATACTTACATCCAAAACTATCTTTTTAATGTGCAGAGATTAACTTGTGTCAGTTTATGTATTTATTATCCACAGTGCTACAGCCTATGATGAGTTCCTCAGCATTAATCTGTTTAGAGAACTCTTGCAGTTGATGCGAATTCTCATCGGATGGATAGCATATGACCTCGTTTCAACACAACCAAAATCATATTTTTGTTCTGTACATCTTTCTTTGGTATTTATAGAATGTACACACCCCTCATATATTAATGCTTGCCATACTACAACGCTGTTCAATTCATAACACACTTCAGAAATTGGAAACAATACCAATACATATTGTTGTTACCAGGACCCATGCAGTTCTTGTTAAGTTGAGAACATTTAAAAATGCAAACGGATATCATTTTTTCTCAACAGCATTCATCCAGCAGTGGATCCATACAACAAAGCTGGTGGATTATGGGCAATAAATTAACAATGAACCGTCGCCAACAGCATTTATAATAACATTAATATCCATCTATCAATGTACGTTCTGGCATTATTTAAGCAATACAAAGCATGCTTAAACACATAGTGCTGGAATACATCGCTTGAAAATACCAATTGGTCGACTGACTTAATTCTTGCTTTATACCATGTATGGGAGCCAGTGTTGCCATGGCTGGCAAGTAGGGCGTGTGGGCCTGGCAGCCTGGGTTCAATTTATAGCGACGGCCAGTAGACCACATTGACCAGCATGTTGAATTATTGCAACACCAAACTTACACAGCATGGGGGTATCTTCAGCCAGCAGTGGATTGACAAAGGGCTGTGAATTATTTGTAATTGTTATCATCACTTAATCTCAACACTCTCCTGAAGGTGGAACAGTCAGAGCATATCAATGACTTTATTCCGTGCAGAAATTCTAAGGGCACCCTTAAATTGTCACTACAGAAAAGGCAAGACTTCATCAACATTAAAACCCACACGACACGGTGCGCAGTTAATTCTCATGCGGGTGAAATAATATTTGTTCTTGTGTACAGCTTCTTGAATGACCTCGGTCTCTACAACCACAAAGACAAGCTCGTGGGGACACTGTCGGGAGGCATGAAGCGCAAGCTTTCCATCGCCATCGCCTTCATCGGAGGCTCGACCACGGTCATTCTGGACGAGCCCACGAGCGGCGTGGACCCCTGCTCTCGGCGCAGCATCTGGAACCTCATCCTCAAGCACAGGGCTGGTGAGGGACGATGCGCCACGGGCGTACTCGCGCGCTCACGTGCACCTTAGCGCCGCCACACCGTGAGCAGAGCGGGCATGAGCCAGGGGAGAATGCAGGGTTTGCCGCTCAGATACGAGTGCGGATCTGCGATGAGCATGGAGAGGGGGGTGGGTTGCTGCTGGCAAGCCCAACGCAGAGCGTGGGGGTCACGCGCCGATATAACAACTTAACGGCTTCTGAGCCGTATGTATGTACGTATGTTGAACTTCTTTCGCGAAATATGTCGCCAACTGTGGAAGGTATTGGCAGGGCTTGAGGTTACTTTTAATTCCATGATGGCATGAAATTGGTAATATACTCGATTCAAACATCTCGACCACATTAACAATCACAAAATGTGGAGGCTCAGCGTGGATGATTGCACCTTTCTCTGTAGCCTACTCTCTATGATAATTAATTTTCATGTATGTTTGTTGAAATTATTTCGCACCGTGAATTGCCAAACGTGTTAATCGTACGTCGGATGAAAAACTGATGACGCACGCGTACGTCATCGGAACGGGAACGGGTTAATATGTCCTCGCCGACAGCAATCACCGTCACGGTCCACGAGGCTAACGGGCGGATCCTCGTGTCGGTGTTTGCGTGCGCGTGTGTGTGAACGTGCAGGCCGCACCATCATCCTGTCCACGCATCACCTGGACGAGGCGGAGGTGCTGAGCGACCGCATCGCCGTGCTGGAGCACGGCAAGCTGCGCTGCTGCGGGAGTCCCCAGTACCTGAAGGAGATTTATGGGCAGGGCCTGACGCTGACCCTCACCAAGAAGGTTCGAGTTCAATCCCAATGCTGAAAGATCACCTGCACATGACTCAATAGGGATCACACGCAGCAGCAGAATTGTCCCACTACTCTGACATAATTTGGCAGGACCCTCCCGAAAAAGAGAATTGAGACTCAACGAGGCGTTCCTTGGTAAACAAGCATAACGATAATAACAATAACAATAATAACTTGAGGCTTGGTACGAGGTTTTATTTTTCACAATAAGATACAATGTTAATTTAAGTTTTCTGAAATGATGGTCTTCACAATATGTTTCCCTTAACATTTTAATTATACTTCCTATGGTTAGCATTTCGTTGTGCTTTGATGTACTTCAAATACGAATAAATATTGCTCAAAAGTTCTTCAACAGCAGCTCACTGCTGATTTTCTAGAATTAGAGTAAAATAAATGGCAACATTTTCTACGTGCACCACAATATCAATTGAACTTGGATTCCACAATATTAAAAGAATATTATTCGTGCCGTCATTGTATTCGCAAGCTAAAACTGGTGTAAATGAGAATTTGAGGGGCATGAAAGTCTGTTATAGCGTGCAAGAGACAAATGAGGAGAAACCATAGTTGACAGGAGAAGTTTGAAAAATCTAAACTTGTCCTGTTTTGTCGGCTTGTGCAGTGACAATGTGCTGGTAATTAGAGATATCAAGATCGATGTCTCTACTTGCATAAAATCATTACTCCGATTATGCACAGTATAAAATATAAATCCTATTTTACTCACAGAGTATACACTGTATGCCTCGACTATGTGAGAAATGAGAAAACCCACACACGCATGTATGAGCATCTTTCTTCCTGTACATGAAGATCAATATTTTGTCATCATCAGCTGTGGCCAATCCACTGCTGGATGAAGGCCTCCTCATACTACCACCATCGCTTACATTCCTGCGATGTCATACATCCACATGAAGCTGATTAATTCATAATCTGGCAATGCAAGTGGATGATTATGATGATTATGTCTGCGTGACCCTGTCTCTAAATCGCTAGGTCACAGATTAAAGCCACCATAGATAGAGAGTACATGTCCATCATTAACCCACCGCCACCCAACACAGCCAATTAGTAAGGCTTTGTCAAGTAAATACAACGTGCCAGCAGTTAGTTACTACTTCAGCACACCGCTGTGTTGGAGAGTTAAACCAGCAACGTTTACAATTTGAGCACGACGTTTCGCTGGTGATTACAACCAGCTTCATCAGGCGATAGCCAGAATTGTGAAGAAGTCTTCCTGTTTCTGTCTTAAATGAAGTAAAGGTGATGTCATCACTGTGAGTCTATCAGGTGCAAAGACCAGAGGGGGGGGGGGGGGTAATAATGTAGTCGTATGAATTACAATGGATTAGTTTAACAGTGTTTGGTATTACCTTTTTGTTTGTTGCGGTTGCACCCGATTCAAGAGCCGAATGGCTCACAGGGCTATACCTAATAAATGAAACTGAAAACTGAAACCTTTGAATCTCTGCATCTTTGCAGGATAATGTTGGTCGCGAAAGCCTACGTGTTAAACTCACCATAGATAGAGGCTGAGTGTGTAGCACTCATGAATTGGGTGACACGACCCCACTTTGTACGGATCAAGCGATAGTGGTGGTGGTGGTGGTGATCACAATGATGGCTGGGTTGACCCCACCGTCACGCGTCTTCCAGCTCAGTGTCTCACACCTCTTGCCGTCTTCCTTTCGCAGAGCGCCGCGCTGGGCTCGAGGTCCCCCTTCGACCCGGAGCGCGTGGTGTCGCTGGTGCGCTCGGGCGTGGAGGGAGCCGTGCTCAAGAGCGGCGAGGACAGCTCAGGCAACCGCAACGCGGACATGGTGTTCCTGCTTCCCGCACACTCGCAGAACGTGCTCGGCCAGAGCTTCCTCGCCACACTGGAGGAGAACATGGAGGAGTTGGGACTCTCTGGCTATGCCATCTCTGACACCACGCTTGAGGAGGTGTGTGAATGCGTGCACGTGCGTGCGTCAGCAGCGAAGTGATGTCTGAACCTGCCCTAGGTTGCTCAGGCTCAGCTCAATACTGCACTCCGACCACGGCAGTGTCTCTGCTGACAAAGGCAACCCAGTGTGGTCCTGGTCTTTCCAGTTGCTCGCAAACAGCATGCCATCCTGGTTATCGCTGTGGGTGTATTAACCATAAAAAATAAACACGCCATTTGGCTGCATAGTCGATGTTAAGGCTCCACTGACGTCATTTGAAATGTGTCGGCCATTTTGTGTTAGCCTCATGGACAAAATTTGGCAAATTCCAAAAATGGCCGACAAATGACTCAATTTGGTTTACACATCACAACATCGACCCGAGTGTGACGCTACCGCAGACTATGAAATACGGTGCATTTGTGATAGCCCTGCGCTTATAAGTCTGACGTGAATACCAAATGTACTCTATTTGTCATTATTATTGTTATTCACTCTTAAGCTACACATTTCAATATTATCTATAACTGCTTCTGCTTGCTTCTTGTGGGTTCTTGCAGGTCTTCCTCAAGCTGGTGCAGGAGGCTGAAGACCAAAGTCTGAAGGACATCACCAACAAATTTCCCGAGGCCGAATCCGGCTCCATAAACTCCGAGACAGCTGCTCCGCCTGATCACACGAGCCCGGCCGCCTCTGACACCAGTGACACTGTCAGCCTGGAGAGCGAAGGAAGCAGTCAAGACAGCTTCGGTAAGGACATATGTGTGTTTGTTGAACTTCTTTCAAACCGTACTTAGCCAACCGTGCTCATCGGAGGTGCGGGGGAAAAAACAACAAACTAAACACTAAAAATAACTTCTAAAGAAAATAGTATTTTCAATCGAGACATAAAAGTTCACAGCTCCAGTGGCTTCCTAAATATTGGAAGGTAAGAGAGCGTTCCGGACGGCCGCGGAAGCGCACCGGAAAGCGCTTTGATCCTCTGCCTCTCTTCTCTTTGGCGCACAGAGAAGCACCTGGTGAAGAAGGAGCGGGTGACTGGCATCCACCTCTTGGTGCACAAGACCCAGGCCCTGATCTACAAGCGCTTTCACCACTGGAGGCGCGACGTCAAAGGGGCAGCTGCTCAAATCGTGCTGCCCGTGATCCTCGTGGCGCTCGCCATGGCGTTTGCCAGCATGGAACCCGGCGTCCCGGAATATCCGAGCCTCCATCTCCAGCCGAGCCTCTACAGCAGTGCTTCCTTCTTCAGGTGCGCGCCTGTCGCTTGCGCCAAACGACGACGACATCGTCGTCGTCGTTGTCGTCAGCAGCGGCATAATCGGCATCATCAGCAGCGGCGATACCATAACACATTCCTGCGAAGGGAGCTTGTAGGAACGTTGGGTTGCTTGGTCAATGGCCAGGGTCAATAGTGGCGTGGTGTATTCCGCAAATATTGCCGACTGTGAGGGCGGGCACAAGCCGGCGTGAGTAGGTTAAACGTTGAGTTTTATAAGGGCACCACGGGGTGACCAGCCCCTTCCCACCCAGCCCCACTCTCCCCACCCAGCCCCTCCCCACCCTCCCCACCCAGCCCCTCCCCACCCTCCCCTCCCCACCCAGCCCCACCCTCCCCACCCAGCCCCTCCCTGCACGACGGACGGACGCAATAATCCCCTGTGGGCTGGTGTAACTAGGAGGTTCCTACCAGTATTACTCTCATTATAATCATTATCAGCAGTGACAGCAGTTACAGTATCAGAATCTAATAATTATTATTATACCTCTTCTCCATTGCCCATTCTTTTCCTATTCCCTCCCCCCGCAGGAACATACCCTGTAAATATTGAATTAAACTCTGCGTGATGTGTATGTGTCTAATGAGTGTTTCTTTTCTTTTTTCTCTCGTGCATCACAGCTTGCACAACAGCTCAAGTGCGTCGGCCAGCTCTCTCACCTCGACGCTCATGAAGCATGCCGCGTGTCTGGACCAGCCTCCGTCCAGGTGAGATAGCAGTCCGAGCCGAAATGTCGTCTTTTGTGCTTCTCTTGCTCGGTAGTTTAACTTCTTGGTCGCACTTGCGTGAGCTTCTTGCGATCCAGAGGAAATGATGAGGAATTCAAGTGCCAACAGTTTGTACCCATCCAGATAGCTTAACAGTTTAATTGTTTGTGAACGAACCACTTTATACACGAATTTGTGACATATATCTCAAATCTTTAGGACGGCGTATCTCCATATCTGCCACATCTCCTGCATCCACAATTTCCCTCAGCTGCTGCTGAGACCTTCATGCATTGATCACACTCCAACACAACAATCACATCTGTCTCATCTACAGCCTCTGTAAAGGATTGGGGAGATCACATCTCCCCAATACTTTACATTCTCCATTGGCTCCAATTATAATCCCAGATCAATTTCAAGATGACACCATCTACGTACAGTGCGAAAGAAGTTCAACATCTTCAAGTTGCTTCATGAGATCCCCCCCCCCCCCGCCTCTCATCTCATTCTATGCTTGGGCAGCCAAGGCTTTGTCAGTGGGAGGTCGCTCATTCTCCTCTGCTGCCCCCACTGTCTGGAACTCCCCCCCCCCCTTACCCCCAGTTCAAGTCCAGGTTCAAGACCTTCTTTTTGCATCTGCCTATGGCCAAGTGCCTCTTCTCTGTAAAATCAATATCCCCGGTGTTTCTTTGCAGCATCAGCAGATGCTCCTGCATCTAGACGGGGTTATATAGCTATGACTGTCACGGAGTATGTGATGTATGCACATTTATATTTTTAGGAACAACTCCTGCTGGGCGAATAGGCCTCCCACATCTTGGCTTCCTTCTGCCAAAGGTGATGAATCCTCCTGCAGCTGCACGTCCTGCAAAGAGGTAGGTGCTCTGATGTGCTTTGACACGAGTGTATTATGTATTCTGACCACTGTGTGGAGTGCAGCGTTAAAATAAAGCACCCACATCAACAAAATAATTAGTTTTTGATAGAACACCGTTCATGCCAGGGCATCTCAGAGTACTGTACACCCAGTGAGAAACTTACATCACATCTCAGACATTTGAAAGGGCACCCCCCAGTGGCAGCTGTCCCTGCGTGGCACAAGGTGAGTTGGTGCCTGGCCTGTGAGCAGGCATTAGTACACCAGGAGCTGGAGATAATTGTTGTGTGTAATCTCAATTGAGTATTTTGCGGGACATTTAAAAAAAATAACTTATCAAGGTTGAACCATGATGCCGGCACACAATGACCGACTCATTCTAGATGTCCGGGGATATTTAATAGCCCCCTTTATGGTGAACACGCCGCAGTAATGATCAGGGAGGCCTGCCCATTTCGAGCTGTGAACCTCTGCCACAAGCGGGGAATGCACCTACTGCTGGGCCATGTCACTGCCTCAAAAAAATTAAACATGAAGCCTCACTATCTTTAGAGATGTGGTACGCCAGGTGAGGTGAGGTGTATTGCAGGCATCGTGAGTTCTCAGTGGAGGTGAGTCTTGGATAAGGTTAGAGGTGAGAGATATGAATAAGATGAACCTGAGCAATCGATTAAGTGGGCTGATCCCACAGAGACAATGGCACGAGTAAAAGGTATAGAGAGATTGAAGAGAGGAATATTCAAATTAAAAAAATAACATGTATGTGAAAGAAAAATGCTTATAAAGTAGCATGAATGTATATGTGGCAATGTACAAAGTACGATGGAAAAAATTAAGCAGCTCTCTTAGGAGGGTTTGATAAAGATGCTTTGTAGATACTGTACATGAATAATGCTTAATTATTTCAAGTTAAACAACGAGTTCCTTTAAGAAATGGAGTGCCATGAAGGATGCCATTTTTTTCAATCTAACATTTTTCATGTTTGTACCCAACAGTTGTGCTCAGCTGTGCAGGATATGCCATCCTACACCAACGTCAACCCACAATTGCAGATGTTCAACCTTAGTGGCTACGACGTGGAGGAATACCTGATGGGTACCACCTGCCAATACTTGCTCAAGAGGTGAAGCGGTGTTTATTGCCATTGTGTAACAGATTATACGTCCCTCTTGTCATTATTTAGGAGCTTATTTTCCAAGTAAAGCCCATTGAGCCATACAGCTCTCCCTCAAGGACGATCTATGATATCGTTGGGTGTAAATCGAGGCAGAGAGTGAGTTATAGTCTTGGTAATAGCTGTGGTCCCATAGGTGGAGTGTCACAAGTAAAGTATGTATTGGTTCGTGCGCACGTGCCGTGTGCTTATGTGTGTGCAAGTCGAGTACAAGTCTCGTGCTGCTGCTGCTGCTCAAAAGAGCCGGCGAGTAATAGTGGTGGCACTCACGTCTGTTGGCAGCCCTGAGCTAGTGGTGGAAATTCCACGTTACACTGGCAGGGCAGAGTGTATCCATTTGACGAACACTTTTGACATCCTACAAAGTGGATCTTGTTTGCGCTACCCCGGCAAGATGAGCCGCCCTCTGATCACAATGTGAACTCAGCGCAATTTTCCGTCTCTTCGTTGAGCACTTTAACCAGTGCAATGTGGCCACATATACACACTCCAATACAGTGCAAAACATCACCACGCGCGCATTTACTCACATACCACCCAGTGATCACACCGGGAATCATACCTGTGCACCCATGCTCATGCAAGCGTACATACTCAGGCACTGAAGTGTGCACTTTCATCTACACACACACATGTATTCGCTGTATATTCTTGTGCACATGTAGAGGGACACGCAGATGGAGATCTTCGTTTCCCGTGTACCTTGAATAGCTTTTAGGTGCGTCTGTGAGCAACGATGCACCATTTTAATATTGTTGCAAACACATCTTAAATTTACATACTTTACCGCCGTCATCATTTATCTTATAGCTAAAATAAAACAAACGTGCAATAACATAACATTTTGAACAATGGCCCTTATTTAGAACAGTGTGTAAAAAGATTGTGGTTAATGTTTTGGTCGATTAGGAAACAGTTTTTTGATTATGGTAAAAAAACGTGTCGTTTTGAGTTGAAATGTATGTGATGTGCTGTTGCAATTTCTTAAGGGCATCTAAAACATACAATTTGGTCTAAAAGCATTGCTTACCAAGCTTATCTGTGACGTCGTGAGATAGATTGTGGCACCTGCTTCTTGTCAGTGTCATACCAATGAGGTCTACATTTGCAGCTTAGTCATGCACGGCTGGATCCGTGTGCGTGTCTGTGTCCACTGGAGTTGTACATTCCAGCAAAATAACAATCACCTGTCGCAAGCAGCCTCAATTTGTGCTTACAGGAAATTGAAGCTGCCATTATTAATACGGGAGTGTTTTTATTGAACGAAATATTACACACGTGTAGTGTATTGTAAGCCAAGAGGCTTTTTTGCTAAAATCCAGAAAAAACGGTGAGAAACGAGTCAAGTGTGCCCCTTCACATTGAGTGCTCCCGTCGTGTTAACACGAGCACTGGACCCGAGTTCAGCTCGATTTACAATCGTGGAGCCTCTCCAACCTGCACACCCTTGACTCAAAGACCCACACATTGACCGTAGTCTTAATATAGATTGGTGTCCAGCAGCTAAATAAAAAAATAATCAGAAGTATTTCTGTCTTGGCATCAACCTCCGGAACGGTTCTCTGCTGCAGATGACCTGTCCGATTCCACTGGGAATTAAAAAAAAAAACTGAAACGTTATTATCTAGCTCATAATTCATTATAATTAATGATTTTCAATCATTTACATTTTACGATAGCTCAAGAACATTGTGCTATTTATTACCCCCTGCCAAATTGATGTCCCTCTCAGGTAAAAATGCTTTGTTGAAAAATTAATCATTCAACCAAACAAATAAGATAAATTACTGGACAAGTCATCCACATTATTTGTGATAACATATCACCATTTAATTAAGCAAAACAAATTATTGCCTTTTCACAGATATGGCGGCTGGAGCTTTGGATTGCCTCACACTGCATCATCTGATCTTGAAGTTGTGCCAGATAACAGGACCCTCACCAAGGTGAGTGCAGGGACTCACAGCTGCCAATTCAAATTGAATAAAATCATAGATTATTCCTTCAAGTACGGCGAAACCGTATGAAGGTTAATTACAAGCAAACTATTTTGTCAGTGTTATTAACACAGCATTTATATTTAACAAAATCTCGTTTGTAGGAAAACTAAATGTAAAAAATATATACATGCATATAAGGATGCTGCCTTGGGCACGTTTTTTAAATCCCTCCGCCACAGTCCATCCCGTGCTATAAATTGATACTCAGTCGATCAGCATGTCACGTGCGGTGGCGTAAAGTGTGGGTACTCTCATCTCTTGCGAGACATCTGGCCACCGTGAAAGCAGAGACCTAATACCCTCTAAAGGGGCAGTGTGAGGAATAAATTGCAGATCTACACCTTTATCTTTAAGTTCTGCTTGCTTATAAATGAAAAGCATTGTTGCGTACTCTTTTGCAGTTGCACATAATTTCAAGAGTCCAATGTTTTTGTGCGCTGTCGTCCAGGTGTGGTACAATCCCGAGGGCTACCATGCCCTCCCGGCCTACGTGAACAGCCTCAACAACCTCCTTCTGTGGGACAACCTTCCCGAAGGAGAGCACCCCGGCGATTACAGTGCGGTTCACTTCCCACTCACACTCTTTTTCTTTGTAAGGTCAAAAAGGCCTGGCGACCAGCAACAAACAGTGGCATCGTAAAGGTTTAATGGATAAGATTAAATATGTTTCTTGCCTTGAGCACGGTTGTAGAAAGTATCGACGATCGAAGGGGATTTCAAAGTCAAACAAAGCAGAAAGATAACTGTTTTGACTAGCAGCGTGATGGTTAGGGTGGGTCCGTGGGTGGGTTAGTGGGTCAGTGGGTGTGTTAGTGGGTCCGTAGGTGGGTTATGGATCCGTGGGTGGGTTATGGGTCCGTGGGTGGGTTCGTGGGTTAGTGGGTGGCTCAGTGGGGGGGTTAGTGGGTCCGTGGGTGGGTTAGTGGGTCGGTGGGTGGGTTAGTGGGTGGGTTGATGGGCGGGTGGTTTTGCTGCACTCTGAACACAGGATGAATTACATGAGACAGTCAGTCCTCAACATGAGTGAATTAAGGGGTGAAGTTCATAAGAACGGTAACCAATGTGTTAGCGATAGAAGAGTGAGTGATGAGGAGGCTACTGACTGCTGTCTGAGGTAGGGGATAATCATTGTACAATTTGGTCAAATTATCTGTGCATTTAGCCTACAATTCAACATTATGCTTATTACATCTTCATTCATCATCATCATCAAACAGTCACTGATGTTGCTATGATCACCTCCTTTGCATTTTAGTAGTTTGGTCTAGAGGCATCATACCGACTCTTAGTGAGGGCCTCTGCTGCAGCCTTAATTCACGAAGAAACACTGTAGTAATGTGTATGTGTTGGCACTGTTAAAAGTGTTGATTGGATTTGAATGTAAAACAATAAACACATTGTCACTTACACGAAGCAGCAGGAACTACACTTTATTAAATGTTTGTAAAACAAAAACACACTTTGGTTTCAAAAGCAATTCTTCAAGTCGACATTCACAAATTATACCACAAGCTATTAATAAAAAATGGCGTGATTTTTATGAATACAATTGTCAACTGAGAGTGGCTAGAAAGCTAACATTGCATGTTTCTTGTTGAAGGGATATCTGTGAACAGCAAACCATATGCGGGCCAACAACTCGGTCAGGATATGATGTAAGTTGCCCATTTGAAAAAAAAAATGTCACATGCGAGAAACACACACCACACATTCGACTTTCCATAACGCCTGTTTGGGCCAAGTCTAATTTTAAGCAGGCACCTACGTCTTAAGAATAAAAAATGGCAAATCCTTTATGAGATGATTGTGTGACCAATGTCAAGGCCACCTATTTTTGTCTTGACAGGCATATCTATAAAATTGCATAGTTGTGAAAATAATACTTAAAAAAACAAGCGATAAGATTTGTGGGAAATCCAGCGGAGTGATTCCTTTGGTTATAATGGTCCCGGCCATAAAACTGTGGAGTTTCCACAATTTACACAAGGCAACCAGATGAGATGAGTTTAAGGAATCCCGAACAGTAGTGCGTTGCATTGTCAAGTTGAGTGAACACAAAAGCATGGATCAGTCTCTCTTAAGTCATTAGGTGGCAGGAATCAACGCAGCTGGGCAATATTTCTAAGGTGGAATAATTAAGTTCTAACCACCCCAAGACACACGTGCCTCGAAGGACAGGGTCTGGTCAAACTGAGCACCAAAAATGGGATGAAAGTGAACGTTCGTGAATCGGTGACTGACGTCGTTTGACTTTGGGCAATGGAAAGTCACAAGCCACACTCTAACGGTTGCCGACGTGCGATCGCGTCCCTTCAGTCTGCAGAACCTGGGCGACACGGGTGTGGCCATCTGCATCCTGCTGGGCTTCTCCATCATCACGGGCAGCTTCGCCACGGCCGTCGTGCGCGAGCGCATCACGGGCTCCAAGCGCCTGCAGCAGATTTCCGGTGTATCCCCGACATACTACTGGGCCGTCAACTTCGCTTACGACATGGTGCGTGCGTAAACCGAGTCGCCTCAACTCGCTTAAACGGGTCTCGAGTACTCGTCACTCGGGGCCCGCGATTCCAGACCCGGCGTGTGTCGCTTTGCTCGCAATATGCGCGTCTCTGTGGAGGTGGGCTGGTGCCTGCGGAGGCCAGTAGTGCGGAGCTGGCATTGCTGACACCTGGCCACAAATGATAGCTCAACGAAGTGGCCCATTTTTCGATTTAAAGCTTTCGTGACTGCAGGGATTCATCTTCTTGGTTCTTTCGGTAAAGTCACGTAGAAGGGAAGTAATAAAATAATAAAAATAAAACATAATAAAACAATTCTCACGACGTTTCGGCCACAACGCAAGCAGCCGTCCTCAGGTGAAAACCAGGTCCGTCGAGGCGACAGAGTCTGAAGACTCTGTCGAGGCGACAGAGTCTTCAGACTCTGTCGCCTCGACGGACCTGGTTTTCACCTGAGGACGGCTGCTTGCGTTGTGGCCGAAACGTCGTGAGAATTGTTTTATTATGTTTTATTTTTATTATTTTATTACTTCCCTTCTACGTGACTTTACCGAAAGAACCAAGAAGATGAAGTGGCCCATCACGTAGCCATTTATAGCAGTCAAATTATCTAAATTACGATCAACACTTGCGTAATTCAATTAAGATCAACACTTACATAATTAATAACAGATCGAGATGTGAGATTTACCCCGGGTTTGTCTCTGTGCTGACAGCTGAGCTACTCAGTGACCACAGGCCTGTGCATCGCAGTGATAGCAGCCTTCAATCTTCCTGCCTACACGGACAACAGCAACCTGGGAGCTGTCTCTCTCCTACTCATTCTCTTCGGGTAAGGGCATGAAAGTTGAAATGTTTCAAGAATGCTGACTGGAAAGTGAACACTTCTTCATTCTCCCGTGCCTTGCAAATTCCATGCAATGCCTCCCAAACTGATTGCATAAAACAGCAATGCTCTCATACCATGAATCTTGAAAGACATTTTTTTACAAATATCACCCCCATCTGTTGATATGAGATGAATTCATTCCGGCCTTTATTTTAGTGTCTGCCAATTAAATGAAATTTAGTTCTGAATACATGGAAGTTCCGTGCAATGCTCGTAGCTTGCGTCCCTCGCTATCGATGTGAAGACGGTGACGTGGCAGCGCCACGTTGTCCCGGCCCCACTGAAGTCGGAGCTTCGTGTCCAAACGGCCAGCTATGGCTGTGGCTCCTCAGTTCCTTGGGACAGGGTTTCAGCTGGTGGGAAACCAATGTGGCTACCGGTAGCTGATCCAGGTTAGAGCTCGCCACCATTCACCATGAACACTGCCTTATGCCATAGAAACACAGGCATGCAATCGACCAGCAGTGTATGGACAATGGCCCTTCTTGAGTCTTCAGTTATTTTTTGTTTTCATTATGCTTGTTCATCACTGCGAGTGCTGTCCCTTTCCTGTATGATTCAAAACTGTCTGGGAACCTCATCTGATGCACGTCTAATCACCTTCCACAAAGTTGAATTCATACACAGTTTACACCTTGGCTGCAGTGGATTCGTAGTTGTTTGTACAAGCTGCGTGATGTGTAAAGTGTGAACCCTCCGGCGTCGGCTCCGTTGTGTCGGCGTGAGCAGCTTCGCGTCCCTCCCGTGGATGTACCTACTCTCCGGCATCTTCTCTGAGGAGGAGATGGCCTTCGTCACCTACATCTCCATCAACATCATTTTGGGCGTCACCACAATCATCTCCACCTTCCTCGTGAACTTCCTCTACATGAGTTCTGACTCAGAGGTGAGTTTTTCCTGCCGTTTGTTTCATTCCGCGATTTTGTGTTCGAGTGCTCGCAGCATCTTGCAACATTGCCCCAGGTCATTATTGCCAAAGTAAACGCCGTGTTAAAGCACAGTCCCAAGTGGCTTTAAGCTCAAATAAACAATTAGGAAATGTGTATCTCCACTGGTGCTGAGCCACAGGTGGAAATTCCACGTTTCTATAGTGGGAGCCAGTTTAACTTTAGAACCACGGTTGAATGTGTTAGTAATTGTTTTGCTTCACTTCAGAGGGATAAAGGGCTGAATCTACCCCCATAACACGCCTTTTGGATTCATTTGACTATTATCGGCATAACAACAATTAATTTTGTCGTCATATTTATCTTGATTACTTCTCGACATGTTTGCTATTTTAGTCTAGCAATGTGAAAACATAGCTTTACCTTTTTATAATCCCAGGAATGTCTTGCAAGTGTATATTGTGCATCGTTGCTGAACTTAATTTTATTTGTGTTGCTTGCATCATTTTGCTGACAGCCCACGTCGCTGTTGAATATGAGACTGGTCTAGTTTTTTGGGTTCTTACCTGGTTAAACAAAATAAACTCGAAGCTTGGACGTGGGTTTTATTTCCTACTATTTATACCTCCGTCGGCTTAATGCTATATTTCACCCTGGCATAACCGCAGTATATCAAAACACACCACACTCATTTTTAAAGGGACACCAATATGGTTGCCGATACGACTTAACACTAACTCTTAGATCTTGACTTAAAGCTTTCGTGACTGCAGGAATTCATATTCTTAGCTTAATCTCCGAGTTGTTTTTTTTTCTTTCAAATATACATGCTTTATATATCTGGCAAGAGCTAACAATCTGCATGTACATAGCATACCGTTGTTTGTGTATGCGATTGTGCTCTATATAATGTGGGGAGTGGTAATGTAGCGGTTCACACGCTGCACTATAAACCTGGCGACCCAAGTTCGAGTCTCGCTCACGGCCAACGCCAGTGATGATTATTTGAACCGGTCCTTGGCCTCCCCTAGATCGACTCAACCTCAAATGAGTACCTGGTGTGTTGTGTAAATATCGCCACTTGGGAGTCAAAGGTGCTGGGCATGCGGTGCTGGCCACCCGCCCCCTCGCATGCAGTGCCGGCCTTCATGAGGGGCCACGGCGGCGAGATGTTAACTACCTCGTCTAGAACACAGGAGGTCGGTGGTTCAATCCCGACCCTGATGCCTGTTTATTTGGAGTTTATACGTTATCCCCATGGTCGCGTAGATTTTTGTTTTCTGGGTCCTCAGGTTTTTTCCCTCCACATTTAGAAAAATGAGTTTAGAGTATTTGGCTGCTGTAAATTTTCACGTGATAAGCCATTTCTTTGAGCTCTCATTTGTGGTGAGGTCGCTTTCTGAAGAAGTGGGCTTTCAGCAATCTGTTAAGGCTATACGGGGGGGATCCTTGTATTTTCTCGATACAATACTAAGTTTGTGTGTGTGTGTGTGTGTTGCTCTCTTATCCCACCCACAGAGCCTCTACAACGCCTACAATGTCATGCGATGGCTTTTCCTCGTCTTCCCCCAGTTCTGCCTGGGCTGGGGGCTAGTTTCCCTCTCCAAGCAGAGGCTCATGGAGGACATCATGACATTGCTGGGGTCAGACCCGCAGGAAAGTTCATCGTTTGCCATGGACATTACCGGCTGGCCCTTCGTGGCCCTGGCAGTTAATGGCATTGTTTGCTTTACTCTCCGGCTGGTGCTCACAGATGAACTCATCTGGAAACTCAGGTTTGTGTTCCTCGTCACACTTGTGCATCCACTGACTGTAATCTACCAATTTTATTGTATTCCACATGCATATAACCTGGGTGGCACACCAAATAACAACATTAATGAGGGGATTGTTACTTTTTGTGATGTGTGTAGTTTAACACAATTACGTCATTCTATTGTTTTGGGCTCATTTACCACAAGTATTTATGATTAATTAAGTATTACACTGAGCTTTGCATACACCTCTTGTATAAAGTAAAAGCTAAGACCGTAAGGTAACAGTGGGACTCAAGCTATGAATGTTATCCTCTCTGCAGTCGGCAACTTCGATGCTTACCGGTGTTCTCCTCCCTTATCACTCAAATCACGGCCGTTCTTCGTCCACCCCTCGTGTCAATACCACAACCAGGGCACAAATGCATTTGGGCGTCATGCGGCGGAACTGAGTTTCAGTGACCCCGTGACGAATGTGGGGTACACGAAGCAGCAGCAGCAGCAAAACGCCCTCGATGAGCCGTGGCCACTCATCTATCGTCACCCTCAATGTTGGGTGGCGCGCCGTGGTCTCGTGAATAAGCCTTGCATAAAATGAGACCAGATTGCGGCCAACAGTTGTATAACGTTTTGAACAGCGCGGTGTTGAGAGTTCCCTCTGCAGTGTGTGGATTGGTGGCACAACGTGCAGCTCCCGGGAAGCGGAGTGCGCAAAACACGTGAGAGGTAGCGCAGTTGTTAGCGCACCTCGTCATGAAGCCGGTGACCTGAGTTTAACCTCGAGCCATGGCTAACATCAATGGCGAGCGATATCTCAACTGGTCCTTGGCCTCGCTCTCCCCTTTCACCATCCTACACTGACCAACGTGGTGAAGTATGGTCAAAAACCCCCATACGCAATGGGGTGTGGGGAGGCCTTTTGCCAGTAGTGGGCTGAAACACAGTTGTGAATCGTAGTCTGTGTTTGCTCAAGCCTGAATGTCTATCTGCACATGCATTTCTTTGCAAAATTATACGTGGATAAATATGGTCAATTATATGCTGTCATTGCTTATTTTTGCATGTGTGAGTTTGTCTAATTATCTTTCTATCCATCTACCCACACACGTTTGTGTGTGTGGGTATATGCATGTATATTACTTTACATGCACAGGTCATTTGTACACCATGCAATTATCTGCATTGTTGTGCTTTAAAACACCTCGTGTGATGTGTGTAGACCTATACCCCGTATACAGATACGCATGAGTATGCAGAAACACGTGCACTGCAGGGCCATTACCTCTACCACAGCTGCAAATAAACAGCTAAATTGTCACTAATACACTCTGTGAAAACACCCCACCCACTGTTCACAGGCGTTGGATTTCCGATGTGTGTTCACCTTTACGTTCCAGTCTCATAAATCACCAAAACCATTACCCCCCCACTCACCACGTCTGCCTCCCGACAGTGAACATTCAGTATCGCCTTTTCATATGCCACATTTATTTGTCCGGTAAATGTGGCATATCTGCAATGAATGTTATTTTTTGTTTGGAAATGATGGCACGTTTCACTTTGCTGTCACATTTAAGCTTGTGTCTGATCATGTGACCATGCACAGTTGATGTTAAGCATCTAACACTTTTAATTACATGTTTACTTTTTTGAGAATAGACTCTGTATTGTTGGTCATATATAAAAACAATTTTTTGAAACTTCTGGAATAACACCACTTGAGATAATGGAGTTTATATATGGAAAACTATAATGAGTGTGGATGTAATCTCAACTTAACTAACATTGACCAAACGCTGCCGAGAAATTCGTGATCACAATTAAATGTCATACCACTTCTCTTTCTGTTCTTGCACGGCATTATCAGATGTAAAAACAGGTAAGTTAAGGGCCGTTTACTGTGCTATATTTAACCAAGAGTAAAATAAATCATTATTCCACGCGCATGGATAGATAACAAATGTCTGGCTTCTACGTTTGATGGCATCTGGAATCGTACTCCTACCTGCATTGTGACCAGTCGTCTCACCTGCCTGGCTTGGTATTCTGTATGAAGGGTGACTCATGTTTGTGATTGACTCTAATATAATGTATCACTCCCTTAAACTTGTATCACTCCCTTAAACTTGTATCACTCCCTTAAACTTGAATCATTCGGAGGTGGCATGTCTCCCACGTGGAATTGTGCAGATAAAACACCGTTGTGGGCCCATTGTAGAAAATTGTTGACCCATTACACTGGCCAATGCCCAGCAGAGTCCGTTGAGACCAGCGCCCAGTTGCATCAACCACCTTAATTGACACGAATTTAAATCTGAGCTAAGTTAAAAGTTTCACTTAAGTTATTTTATGCAGATGACCCCCAAAAATAAGCCTCTTTTTGAAGGGCGGCCCAGGGAGGGGATGTGCCATGGCTAGTGAATGATGGAACAGCAGTGGATTATTTAACCCACGCGTAGCGTGAAGTGTTGCTCCATCATGGTTGCGGTTGTTCACTCTGCAGTCCAATTTCCTCATGAAATTGGCCAAACATTGGAATGCAGGATTTTACGGGCCTTAACCAAATAGTGAAGCTTTCCAAGGCAAATTTGTTTTGTATACAATTTTAAAAGTACCATCGTAGGATGCGGTGTATGACGTTCATGTAATGTTTGTTGTTGGTGATGGTTGCTACCTCGGAGGTACAAAAACCGGGACTTTTAACATCCTGGGAAGACTTACAGATGTGAAGGATGGCTCCCTCAAATCGAGGACGATCCTGGGAAAATTACGCCAGGTGGCAACCCTCGTGCTGATCCTGTCAAATTAAACAACAATAAAATGTTTTCACTTCTAAAGGCGGTGGTGGCAGCGCAAGGCGGTGGAGCCCGGGCAGCCCGAGCTGGACACGGACGTGCAGGCGGAGCGCAGCCGCGTGGAGGAGCAGAGCCGCGTGGAGGACGCGGCCACCCCCGACGACGCGCTGCAGCTCGTGGGGCTCCGCAAGCGCTACCGCCTGCTGAACCGCAGCTTCACGGCCGTCGACGGCCTGCACCTGGGCGTCTCTCCCAACCAGGTGGGGGCAGCGGGGGAGGGGGTGCGGCTCCGGTGGCGGTGATGGCGGTGCCAGCCGGGTGGCTAAAATGCAGCAAGTTGGCACAGAGCACCTGGATCTGTGCCTTTAACCTCCTGCCAGCAGCAAGCCTTCCACACTTCACGTTGACTCAAAGTGCACCTGGCCTGGCACAGGCGCCGTGGTGACCTCACCGCCACTTAGTGGAGAATGGCGGTTGCTGTTGTTGTTGGTCCCGGCCCAATAGGGGGCACGCATGGTGGTGGTGCTGGTGGCCAATTGAGGGGCTCTAAAGAGAAATGCATTCTGCTGCCCATATGCCAATTTCTCCTCTCTCTGTAACCTGGTGCCTGGACCCCATCCATCCTGTGGGCCTGGTGCAGTTGCAGTGCCTGAACCCTCTATAGCTACACCACTTATTCTTACAATTGGCGTCATCACCGGTCTGATACTGGCACAGTGTTTCTACGGAGTGGTGGCACAGGCGGGTATTTCAGCAGCCTTGCCTTGTAGGCTTGAGACAGCCAAAAGCCACGAGCAGGATAATAACTCCAGGAGGACGTACAGCAAGTACGTTTCTGACCTGTTTGTGTAGCGTTTTCAGTTTTCTGCTGTCACATGTGAACGTGTTTTTACTGGCACTCCGGTGTACTCCCATACACGGGGAGTCACCAGCCAAACATGCACAGAGCAAGATCCTTCTGTAGAGATGCAACGAGGCCCTGCTGGGTAAACACAATTTTTTTTTATAATACTGCCCGCCCTTTCACCAACACGCAATGACCCACATGGTGAAGTATATTCGAAAAAATCCCAATGATTACTACAGTGTGTGGAGGCCTTCATACAGCAGTCGATTTACAAAGCACTTAAAATTATTATAATTTGTAATTTAGAATGATTGTTATTTTGTTTATCTGATGCTTATATTGTAAAGGGCAGTAGTCTCTCCTTAGGACAGGTGAGATAATAAAATGCTATTATTTATTTACTACTTTGATATATTTTTTTACACGTGCTGTGTGTTTGTGATGGGTTTCTTGACCAGAGCCAACACATTACAGGTACTCATTGCAGAAGCCCATTACTGAATAGGTTTTCTTGGCTCATTTTCCGAGGCTGAAAGGACATTGTGTTTTTTTGCAGTGCTTTGGGCTGCTCGGAGTTAATGGAGCTGGAAAGACGACGACGTTCAAGATGTTGACAGGGGACATCCAACCGTCGGGAGGAGATGCCATAATACGGACACAGAATGGGTAAGCACCTCACGGCCACCGTGTAATGGTTAGCACGCTGGAATTGCAATCCAGAGCCTGTTGGCTCAATTCCATTTCCCGGCACGGCAGTTGAAACAATGGTGCGAGATTATTTATTAAATTAACTTCCCTTCCCCAGCACCCCCAGTGTGACCTCTATCTTCCCAACAGAATCAGTGGGTACAGTTGGCAGATCACCTGTGGTGGGGAAAAGTGTGAGTACTCTGACCTCTGCCATGAGATTTGGCCAGCATGGAAGAGTAGGACAAATACCATCTGGAGGAGGGAGCTCTCTTGACAGCGCTCTCAAGATATCCCTCTAGCGGAAGCCGTCCTGCCAGCAGTGGCGTGAGAAAGCAATTGCAGGGCTGCACCTTTATCTTCTAGAACAGTGAGAACCAATGGGCAACCCCCGCTGTGGTATTTAGGCTTCATTTTGTGTTTGCACGTGAGTGCTGTGCTTGGCTTAAGTTTTTAGTTCTATTTATCTCAGTTTATAATTTAGCCTTTGCTTGTAATTCTCATAAGTAAAATACATTTTTAGTCTCAGTGGTATATGTTCCATTGGATTTTAACAGACTGAAGTGATATTTTTTCACTTACGAACGTTGACTTTATGAAGCTTCAAAGCCCAAGAAAAAAGCATTTCCAAATGTTTTTACTGAACTGTCATGAATCAGAATCACCCTCGATACAATCACGTAGAAAAATCCATGCTTAATCAAAGTGTTTTGCCACCAGAGTTGCCCAAACTCATTCGGGGTTACGTACAGCAACATGGCCCCCTTACTGTCAAGCTCAAGCAGTCTGTGTGCGTGAAACATAATGCCTTCGCGACAGACTTTCTCGAGACCAGCGGTGGCCAACCGGCATCTCACAAGCCGCATTTGGCTCTTCAATCCGCCACGCGGAGCTCTATCGAAGGGGCATTACGTAGAACGTACTATCACAGTAGCAGCAAAGAATAATGAATGTCTCCCATGCTGTGCTGAAAAATGTCGATATATATACACTTATATATACACACATATATATACACATATATATAATCACTTGGCTCTTTGCAGAACTCATGGGGTACTTTTTGGCTCTCGGTCTGTGACAGGTTGGCCACCCCTGCTCAATACGAATGGCGCGAATCTGTGACGTGCTGAATGACGCATGATTAAAGTCGGGACGAATTACCGCGCTCACTGCCAATTTGTCCACCTCACAGCGCCTTGCTGAGAATGGACAAGGCGCGGAGGACGGGCACGCTGATCGGATACTGCCCGCAGTTCGACGCTCTGGATGACCTTCTCACGGGCTGGGAGCACCTGTACTGCTACGCGCGGATCCGCGGAATCCCCTCGCATCACATCGAGCAGGTGAGCGTGCACACTTTTTTCCCGCACCTCCGATTAGCACAGTTGAAAGTGCAGTACAGTAAATACAGTGACTGTTTACACTAGGATATTTATTCGTGTTTATTGGTATGTTTATTTAGGCCAATTTCACATAGTAAACTAATTGAAAACACCTAAAAATATCATCTTATGCAAGAATGGGCAAATGAGCTATTGAAAATAATTATTTCGTGATTATTCAACGTTTTTGAAAATCCAGCATCCCCTTACCCTCGAAGCCGCCGGAAAATCGATGATCTACTGTACATTAATACAACATACGTACATTTTACAGATACACATGCAGAGTGACGAGAGACACCATTCAATTCCCTAGACATGAAATATTAGACCGAACTATTTACAGTAATTATTTATTACAAAACACGCGTGCATATATACATGTGTACATGCACACAATGACAAATATATATTGCATGGGCTACACAGGTTTTTGGGGAAAGTGCTGTTTGCGAGCATCCATGAAGGCCAACAGTGGTGCACAAGAAGTTGGTGTTGCTTGCGGCACATGACCGTCTGCCTTGCGTCTATCTTTCTGATATTAACAAACTGCATCGGCTACTTCATTAACATTGAGTCAACCAAGAAGAGACCTGGGCCAGGTGCAGACACCATTTCCTGTTGTCTTGGCCATGGCCAAGTATCAAACACAGTTTTTTTTCTCATTCATTCGTACCTAATGATGGTTGCTTGTGTTGCAATCAGAACGTCGTATTCTATTATAATTTAAATTACTTTCTTTCTACGTGACTTTACCGAAAGAACCAAAGAGTAAAAAACATCTATTATGAGCCGGGAGTTTTACAGCATTTAAGGTAACAATTGCGGTGAAGCCAGATCAGTGATGGGGCTTGTGGTGTACAGGTGTCACAGGAGCTGGTGACGCGGCTGCACCTGAGTCTGCATGCCGATAAGCTGGTGAAAACCTACAGCGGTGGCACCAAGAGGAAGCTCTCCACTGCGCTGGCGCTCATCGGGAAGCCCCAGCTGCTGCTGCTGGTAACCGCCATGCACCACATCGTGTTGAATGAATATCCCCATCATCATCATCATCAGCAGCTTCATCATGTAAAGTCATAATGAGGTGGCTGGACAGTTCAGGGGCAAATCGAGGCAGCCCCCCATGACACAACGTGGTTTTCAAGTGTAAAGCGTTAATAGCCTCAGCATTGTCACCACCGACCGTGCAGAAAAAAAGCATCTAATTTGGTTGTTCACTTAATTTGGCTAAAAACCACGTCATGGGAAATGCTGTAGAATGAACGTTCCTTTGTAGTAGCAGAGGGTGTGAGAAAGTACGCCCCCTAAATTGTGGATACAAAGGGCATATGAATGGATCTCAGACGTGGTTGTATGATATCATGTGCACACACGTACATTGTTTCACGACATATATACACATTGGAAAGTCAAAGTAGTTCCCCATGAAAACACCTGCCACATACCGCCGTGAGCCAATTGTGAAAATTCCACATGTGGCAGGAAACCCACGGTTGACCAAGATCGTATTGCGAGTGGCATTTCACTTTTCAGCTGTGTGATCTTGTAACATACGTGCACAAATATCCGAACTGAAGAAATAGATTGCTACCATCATCACATCATAAGCTTTCGGTTATTTATATTTGTGGCTAAATGTGCTATCACTATTATCTTCAATAACATTGCTCATGCCCGATTCGATGAATGTCTGTCCTTGGCAATGATACTGCCTCCTATGTTATGATGCTTCCTATCTATCTCACTACGACGTGTAATGCACTATCCTCCTCCTTCAGTCATCTTGGTCTACATATGTATTCCCTCTCTATCACTACTATTATTTTGTCCATCAATTGTTATTATTGTGGTTGATATTTTTCCCGTGTTCTTTTATATTTGTGATCATGAGTGGAAATGTCTGTGATGTATCCTGGTTTAATCTGTGTGTGTTTCACGTTATATTTTAGAGTTACACACATTATGCTTCTCACTGTGCTGCTTTCTGTTATTTCGTGATACTGTGTTGGCAGTGATGTTCAAGCAAAAATAACAACAAACACTCATATTTGTCTGTTGCTTAAAAGCGACTATGAGTGTAACTATGCATATGCAAATGTAAAACCTGTTCATCCGGAAACATTCAAAATAATGTAATTTTCATCAGGCCCCCAATGGGGCAGTCTCAAACTGGCATTATCCAGGCCATCTGTCTGGCCTCTCTAATAATGTAATAGAAGGCCTATTCACAAAAAGGTCACCTATTCTATACTTTAGCAACCATACTTCCGATGAGCACGGTTGGCTACGTACGGTGTGACAGAAGTTCGACATACAACATACATTTGATATTTCCTTTGCCATTTGTCCCATGCGCTTGCTTATTATGCAGCCATTCTGACACAGAACAAACAAGAAATTTAGTGTAAATTAGCATGCACAGCTGAATTACTTGTCATACTAGATAAACAGTTTTAACGCTGTGCGTGCTGTGAAGAGTACGCGTGATTGTTGAGTTTCCTTTTCATGCAATACCTGAAGGATTCACTTTAATTTCCATTGCTGGAGTTTGATATTTCACAGAAATGTTCTTTTGATGTAGGCAGTGTCTGAACAGCTCTCAGTCCTTTGTATATTTTTTGCAAAGGTGAAAGATGCTTTTTCTACAATCTGTTATGGATATTTTACTGAACCCATGTCTCAGTCTTTTCCATAATACTGCCTGCGGCTTATTATAAACAATATTGCTTATTCGGGGCTGAATACAAGCATTTACCTTCAAACCAAGTAAAAATGTTACATTAGATATTACAGCAACATTATCCAACCACCTCCAACATTCCCCATGTTCACATAAAACATGTTTATGTCCAGAACAGCATCGAAAACGACTTGAATTGAATTAGTTTATCATTGTGTGTGCTATTGCTTGGATTGCATTCTTGATTTTATAGCCCATTGCCTTTGGTGGGATTTATGATTCTAGTTATCAAACATTTTTAATATCCAGAAGTATCTTCAAGCACGATCAAGCTATTTTGCAGTATCCTTATAAGTCTCCCTTATTACCTATTTTATATTTGTAAAGTATAAAAACAAAGCGACTTGAAAGGTGTTTAGCATACCATTCCACGGTGTCCCATCAATTCCTGCAAGGGTCCATTAGTTTGTTGCTAACATATTTCATCTTAGTCATATAAATGCAGGAGGTAGAACATTAGTGATGGAGCATTTTCCTTGGCCTTAATGGGACGTTTTGTTTTCCACCGTCAAACGATAACCGGTGACTTGCACGGTACTGCAGTGTGAGCCGCTATGATGCTGAGCACAGGGACGGCTGCCTTTGAATATAAAACGGTGACTCGGTGACATTGGACACACTCGCACGCTCGCTTCAAGTACCTACATGGTGGCAGAATGTTTCAAGTCCTTTATGAAAGCAAATAATGGGGGCTTGAAAATTCCCAATTGGGAAACAACATTCAACCCTTTGGTCAACAAATATTCCAAGATTGATGTTCCTCGGGAGAGAGAGAGAGAGAGATGAGCAATTTGTGTCAGTAAAAATGAAAAATAGAGAGTTTTAGGGAGGAAAGGGCTGGCCACAAGTGGAAAGGTTTTATTTTAAATTGTTCTGAGCTCATCCAGCAGCACAACATACATAATACACACAAAGCGCAAGAACAAACAAGAGGTCAAGGGATTTTCCGCACAGATGTTATTTTTGGTCTCATTTAATAACAGGGTTTACACACAGACCACAGACCTGTGTGTATATGTACTACGACAATGAGACGAATGTCTGTGTGTCCCGCACGTGACGTCATTCCAAGTCGGCCAGCCCCCCTCATTAATACTCATGAACAGGTGACGTCCTACACATGCACCCCCCCCCCCTCATTAATAATCATGAGCAGGTGACGTCACTCCACATCGAACAGCCCCCCACATTAATAATCGTGAAGAGGTGACATCTTCCAAATGGACGCCCCCCCTCCATTAATAATTAGCGGGTGACGTCACTCCACATGGGGGGGGGGGGGGGAGGCGCCTCCTCCCCCCTCCTCAGGCGTCAACTCACAGCCCTCACTACAAAGGCTGAACCCTCACGTCACGCGATCTCCGTAACGCTATTGAGACATAGAAGTAAAAAGGACGTAATGATGAACAAGGGATTATAACAGTTAAATGAAATAAGTCTGTGCCACCGCGCCCTTACAAATTGCACACGAATTGATGAATGAATATCACGCCGCGGTCTGCTTTTCGCTTGCAAGTTTCAGAATTATTGCAATACACCCGTCCTTGGATGGCCAAAAGGCTAGTAAGATATATTGTGTGTGTGTGTCTACCATGGCGCTGTACATGTTAAAGTATTGAGGACAAACTCAAGGAGCAAGGAAAATAGTAATGTTGCCTGGATTTAATTTTCATATCATTGCAACTGTATAGTTTTGATATGTTTTATTGAGAAACATTCAAGTGCACTGGCATATACCTCTGTCTCAAACATTAATAATGTATCATCTGCAAATGTCCTTTAGCAATGTAAATGTTTGTTCAAAATTGGTATGCAGCTTAAAGAATGACAGAGTGATATAACTGAAGATACTTAGGATTTTCAATAAAAATGTACAAATAAACCACTCTACCATAAACATGCTACATTCCAACTAAAGTATAGTAGTATATTACTGTAAAGTAGTATGGTGTATAGCACAGATATTTTGTATAAACCCAGTGCGATGGGAGTGACTGCTTTGATGCATTGCGCTTGGATCCTATCTCATGGGTTCAATTCAGGCTAACCCCTAAGGGTACAACATTTTTTTTTTACAGTTTCAATCGGACCAAGTACCTGGGGAGGTTTATCCCAAGTCAACGTGGCTTAAAATCTGCCATGCTGAAATAAAATAGCTGGACGTTATTGCTTCTGACGTTATCCATGCCAAGGTGTGGAGGCTCATTTGGGTGACCAAATGATTCCGAATGCATGTTACAATAATGTTAATTTCAGATGACTGGATTAATTGGTAGAGCGCTCCAACTTGGGCAGAGATATCTGGCTGCATAGTGCTGTGGATAAAACGTTTGTCTCGCAGTTTTAAAGGTTGCAATTTCAAAATACAGTTTGGGCATCTGAGCTCAATAAATTGAGTACTACTCTGTGTGAGGTTAACAGGAGTCATCCAATGGAGAGACTGGCCTCCGCCATATAAATGTGGAATTTATATCAGTTGACAGGTCAAACGTACTCTTTTGTCCTTTTTGGTCACTTTATAATTATAGGCTTGTGGTGTTTGTGTTGTTTAATCACAGAGATGAGGGGGGGGGGGGCATTGCACCTCGCTACACCCATCCACACTGCTGACGGTAGAGGTTGACAAGTAAACACAAATCAAGTCATGACCAAAAGTGATTGCTGAGTTTAAAACCGTCGTCTCGGTGGAAATTGTGTCTGTGTCTGTATATATGGATGGCTTCATGAACGAATCTTTGTTGATAGCCAGTCGGCTTGCAAAGGACCATCGTCTTAGAAAAATCAATTTCGTGTGAGCCAGCCGCATTAAAGTAATGATCAGCCACGGCAGAAGTATTGGTCATGCCGTGTTTCAGATTTGCCTTATGTTCACGAACACGGTCCGAGACATGTCATTTGGTTTCCCCAATGTAACTGCTGCCGCAGATACAGCTTAGTTTGTAGACGCTGGGATATTGCATGTCAGGAATCTTGTTCCTTCACAGATGGGATCAGGTCACGAATTTTGTGCACTGTGTTAAATCGGACCTGGATCTTGTGTTTGTTCAAGATTCGGGAAATATTTTTGGTTATCCCTGCTATGTAAGGTGAGGTGATGGTTTTGATTGGATCTTCAGATGGCTCCTTCCTCACGGTTAGGGGTGATGGCTTTGCGGATTGTGTAGTCAGAATATCCATTTGCCATGAGAGCCTGGTGGTGCAGAATTTAACCTTTTGACAATGTCCAAAGCTTACATTTACAATTTCCAGAACAAAATTTTCTTTGCATGAAGGGACATTTTTTCCAGGACCTTACCTGTCGTCATTGCTGTGGTCCAACAAATTGGGCTTTGCTATGTTCACAGGATGAGCCCAGCTCTGGAATGGACCCCAAATCCAAGCGCTACCTCTGGAAGACAATCACAAGGGAGGTCCGCCAGGGCTGCTCTGTTGTTCTCACCTCACACAGGTACGGACGGTAGCAACATCCCTCACATTGCCTGCCGATGGTTCTGTCCACAGGAATTCCTCCCAAATCGGCAAAGTGGCCGTTTAGCCGCGGAGAGCAATTCGAGCGCCATCGTAATGAAATTGCAAGATGGGATCATAATTCGGCCATTACATTGGCACCAATGTAGCCCACAATTAGGATACGGTGCACTGATTTGATAACATTCCTTGACTGTACCATCAAAGGGAATGGTGTTGATCGTGTTGAACGTGTAATATTATCATTACCATGAGCACATTACATTGTGATTATCAACATCGTATCAGTGAGGTGGTGCTTTGGCCTAATATTTGAGTAAGAATAGAGTAGTAATGAGATAAAATCGTGATTTGTTGTCAATTGAGGATAACAAAATATATACCACTTCAACACTGCTTGTCCATTGAGACAGTGGCACTGACCATAGGAATGTGAAATATCCACCTCTGGTTAAAACCTGTATCGAGAGGGATGTAGTGCCCAAAGCTCATTTTGGCAAATAAACACTTTTCATTTCCCCATGATCATTAATATTCATCTGGGCAGCGATGCATGCTAATGATTAGTGGCTTGTCTTTCAGGTCATTGTTTACTGGTGCAAATCCAGATTCGTAATATGACGATCCAACCTGAGGTAGTGTGATGGAGGGAGACGTGTTCTTTCATATGTGGCAGATTCTTGAATCCAATGTTGAATTAAGGTTTCCACATAACATGTCAATCATGAAGGCTGTCTGACCACACTTCACCACAATGGTCAGCGCAGGTTGTTGAAGGGCCCTAATTAAAATATCACACACCGCTCGTGTTAGCCGTGGCCAGGAATTCAACTTTGGTTGGCCGGTTCATAGCACGGTCTGCTAACCGTCATACTACAACCACCTCCCTGAAACAATGGCAATACGAGTTAATCACGGTCAAACGAGTACACAAATGGTTGGCTAATACTTCAAATTATACACCTAAAGTGTATTTTATCCGAATTAAACCAACGTAGACCAGGAGTGAGTGTATACATTGATGCCGGTGATTGAGAAAAAAAGCATGTTAGGCATTGGCGACCCTTATAGCACAAGTGGTGATCATTTCTTGTAAGACAAGCTGCCACGACAGAACACCATGGCCAGCCATGGCAGAGCTCTAGAATAATGCTTTGGGCCATAAACAATAATAATAATAATGTTATATTCTTGGTTCTTTCGGTAAAGTCACGGAGAAGGGAAATAATAAAATAATAAAAATATGAAACAATAATAATGTTTTCAGGTATTCCTTGGGGGTCCAATAAGTGGCTCCCTCTGGGACCAAATAGCCCATGGGTTGCCCGTGTGACACTGCCGTTGTGTGTGTGCGGCGTGTGTTTGTGTACGCAGCATGGAAGAGTGTGAGGCCCTTTGTGACAAGCTGGCCATCATGGTGAACGGACAGTTCAAGTGCTTGGGCACTTTGCAGCATCTCAAGAACCGGTACAGTTCCCCACATGAAACCACTGCTTCATGGAATACAAATATTAATACGCGAGTTTACGTTCATTTGATTTGTTACACGAGTCATCCCGTGTAGCTAGGTTCCGGTGCATGAGCACAGAAACAACAAATAAAGGCAAAACATGTAGATGTCGAAATAATAATGAGGACAATTTTAGTAAATCATAAGTTCTCACCATTGAAAAATTGCTTATTGGCTCAACGGGCCTTCCCTGACATGAGCTGACTATGAATGATTGTTCAGATATTCCATTCCTCTAATGTAGCATTGTCACGTGTGTCAATTGAATCACGTGGCATTAATACATTGATTGTTGCTAAAAATAATGTGTATGTTTAATGGGTATTCCTAGCGACGTAGTCATAAAGAAGGACGTCACTATACACTTTCACAGCAAACTGTTACAGCTTCTCAAAATAAAGTTTATAAATCAGCACGAACATCTAACATAATCTGAATAATTGCTATGTCAATTGGCGAATTAGCTGTGGTTGTTATTTATGTGGCCATCTTCTTGCTATCAAGTTGTAAGCCTGATGTGCTCATACGCATGAAACCTCACACTGTGACTGCAAAACTAACCAATATGCCAATATCCTTTGTCTGTGCTGTGTAGCGTAGCAAGTGCTGTTAGCGAGCTCCTTGTTAGGAACAGCATGGCTGAATTAATCTCTGGTAGGGTGGGCAGGAAAGTGTTTCCTTACACTGCCCTTGTGATCAGAGATATATCACTGTCAGGGATCTCAGAAGCAGTTCTGAAAAATCTGCTCTGCGAGAGATCTAAATGGAGTCTTAATCTCATGAAATTACACTGCCAACGCTATCAGGATAGGATTAGGAAGGAATGATGAAATATTAATGATGAGAAATAATACAACACCGTTGCACACAAAGAGGTGCTTTGCTAATGCAAAGTGTTACACGCACCACACGATGTACTAATTTCCAGTGACACGATCCATCCATGTCTGGAAACCGAACCCAGGTGACTGGGTTCCTACTGCTCGGAGTGTGCCTACCAGCTGGCTGCCACTCCCCATGGTGTACACACTTATCTGGCACAGTGACCTGCATCGTCTGTTTCTGTCTGTTTACCTGCAACAGGTTTGGCAATGGGCATATGATCAAGCTGCGGTTGAGCAGCGGTAATTCCAAAGTCACAGAAGTTACAGAGTTCATCACATCTCACTTCCCTGGCGCCTACTTAAAGGTATGAGGCATTGCACCAAGCCATTACCAGCTTTGCAAAAACCTCTAGCCATTAAATCAAGCAGAGGGCTGGATATGGCCAGAATGATGCCGAGTGTTACAATACAACTTGGATTAAAAATGTGTATATACAAAACTAGTTCAATATGCCTTGTGGCATCCTCTGATCTAACACCTTTTGATAATAGGCTCAAAAGAAAGCTGTCTGGTGTGGACCAATCAGTTTCAAAGACAATGCATATATTATCAGAGTATGTTTTTTGTTTGCATTCTGACCACAAGTATTGTAAAAGGTTTCAGTTTGGTGTTTTAAAATCTTAACACCTGTTTTGTTGCCAGAAAAAAATGGGAAAACCTATTCTCATAGTTCAATATGCTTAAAGGGAATCTATGTACTTTAGAGAAGATTTAAGAATAATTCTACCTTTATAAAAATATATAAAGGTGCGGCCATGGACTAACCTTCCCATACTACTGTTGGCAAAAGGCCCTATACTATATGAAGTTCTGGAGAGCCCCTTATCGAGATTATTTCTAGCCTTCTCATCCGCACTGGCCAAGACGTCTTGATAGAGGTGGGGGAGTTCCCACACTTGAGCCCATGGCATGCTACCTGATGGTCTACTAACTGTGGTGTTACCCATTTATACTGGGGCGTGGACAACAGGTGGGTAGATTTAAGAAACCTGCTGAAAGAAAACTAAATAAATTCATAACAACAAAAACTTACCCGTTCTTTCAACTCCATTGCCAGGAGACCGAATTAGTGGCCAGTGAACTAATCATTGCATCACAGCAACATCCCTTACATTGATGCACGAGATACAAGTACAAATATTGTTCGGATACTTGGGCAGACGAAAGCTGCTGATATGGTTGATTCTCACTTCATGATCAGTTTATCTCCAGAACTTAACTGTATAAAAATACACATACATACAGTATATACTGCTGATATATATGAATCTCCAACACTGGTTTCATGTGATTGGGCACAATGTGTAATACTAATACTCACCATATTGTGTATTACACTTGTCACGGTTATACGATGACACTTCGGAGGTGGTGCTTGAATAATGTATTACCAACTTATGAAATCTAAATTGTGTAATATATATAAACCGGCATCAATGAAACATGCTGCCATTAATAGATACATTTGGTAATTATCTACTTTAAGCTGCTTTGTAGCGAAGGAAGCTTAAGTTTATGAAACCATCAAAGCGATATCACCATGATGTGGATATCTACCATTCTACAGTGTGCCTTCAGGCACCGAAAGGCCAGGTGGACACTAAGGTTACAATTTCTAAATGTATATCCTGGTCCAGAAGCAACTTGTCAATAAGTGGTCTTCATTCCATCAACATAGATGGGCCACATTTGATGCCCAACCCGAATTTGAACTTCCAACCTTAAAGTTAAATACAATTGTAATAATTGTATATATTTTTTCCATTTACTTGTAAGGTTATTTACAACCTCAAAATCAAATTAACAAAATCGATATATTTTCTGTTGATTGAGTGCAATGACAGCATTATTCTCGATGCGCGAAGTGAATAATACCCACTGCTTTACTGCCTATGTGTACACACACAGCATTGTGGGTTTATGCATCCAAATTGCAAATGTTTACACCACTTTCATAGTTGGTGTGCAGAAAGTGGGATGTAGTGTACACAAATAATCGACAAGATCTCATTATATTTGACCGCATTAATTTTGTAAAAAAAAAATTATACTCGCATAAAGCGGCAGGAATAGAATGCTTGAATAGAGTACTTGAACAGAATGTAATCCTACTTAGCGAGTGTGTGAATTCTAAAGGTCCACAGATTAACCATTTTCACACTTTAAATTTCACTTCTGATTTCATACAGCAGCAACACAAGCTAAGCTATAAAGTTGCCGTTTTGTAGTGCTATCTGGCAGATTATGCTATGTTATTCTAAGTTGAATATGTGGTTTATCGCTGTGCATTGTGACATTTGACTTTTTAGGAACAGCACATCAGCCAACTGGAGTTCCAAGTTCCTAGCAATGCAGCAAAACTCTCTGAAATTTTCATTGCCTTGGAGAAAGAGAAGGAATCTCTGAGTATCCAGCATTACTCCATCAGCCAGACAACACTGGACCAGGTAATATGACGCAACAGATTTAGAGGTCAAGGTGCATCCTTGAAATCACTTGCTCATGCCACTGCGTGTGGTCACCTCTGAAGGGAGTTCTAGAGAGCTCCTCTATGGGGTATTTGTATGTACGTATGTTGAAGTTCTTTTGCACCGTACGTAGCCAACTGTGGTAATCAAAGGTGCAGGAGAAGTACAGCAAAATAAACACAAAAAGCAGTGTATTTGGCCTACTCTTTCACAGTGACCAGACGTCTTGGGAGAGGTGGGAGTACCCACACTTTACCCCACCACCACCACACACGTGACCTGCTGATTGACTCGCTGCAGTGAACCCACTTTTAGTGCTGGGTGGACAGAGGCGGGTGAGAGTTGAAGAAACTCTCCCCATTGCGTGAGAAACTGCAGCGCCGAGAGGTCGAACTGAACCGGCGACCTCTGAACCGGACCGGCGAACCGTTGCACCACGGCAGCAATCGCTGGAATTATAAGCCGTGTCTCAATCTGCCTTTGTCATAAAATCTGATTTTGATGACTTTCTCTTTAAACAGTTACTCATTGAAAGTCGCTTATTTGCTTGCAATGCATTGCCTGCATGAATGTTGAACCTTGCCAGACAATGTTAAGAACATGATTAATGCAACTGGCGTTAAGCCACACAAAACGTGTGCAGTCCGTGACATCTACAGAGCATTTGCTTACCCTGCAGAAAGTGTACACAATTTTGCACATCGCCTGTACACCCGCCAGCTTGTGCATCTCAAATCAGATCACGTACGGATCTTTAATGGTCTCCACCTCATTAGCGTTCATCAGTAGAGCGTAGACAATTCTTTACTGCTGCTGCTGCTGCATTGTGCCTGAGGGCCCAAGTATAGAAAATAGCCTTTTACTCTTTCACCCATAGAATGAATGGGAGAGACACACACAGGCTCGAGGCTGCGACGTAAATACCCACGCCTAACAAGATTGAACCCATTGACTCAAAATGAATGAGAAAGGCCAGGACAACAACATCGTATAGCCGGAGCGTAGCAGGTTGCAAACAGATGTACCAACAATGGAGCAGTTTTGTTCTAATGAAAACCCTTAATGAGGCATTTAACTGTGACACAAATGCCTAAATGCCTTTGTGACAAACAAATAATGGCCATTCTTTTAGCTCTATCGGTATGCGGTCTGCTAAAGGCTGTTCATAAAACATGCACATATGTTATGGGGCATTATGAATTATGCATGGGGGTTCACATTTCCTGCATTTCGTGCTCACAATTTACTGCATTTGTCAATCTGGCTTTGCCCCGTTCTCTACAATCATTGGCCAGCACAGGGCTTCTTAGGTACTTAATCTGCCACCTGCTGTTACCCTTCGCCGAGTGCTCATGATGGCTCCCTCTCATCGCTCTCTCTCTCTCTCTGGCACGTGGCAGGTGTTCATCAACTTTGCCCGGCAGCAGATTGATATGGAGGAGGAATCCAGCAACGCAGACGCTCGTCCGCCTGTGCCGACCGTGTAGGAAGCGTTGCCGTGCCGCCACCACCACCGCCACCAGCACCACTTGCACCACCACCAGCACCAGCACCACTTGCACCACCACCACCACTTGCACCACCACCACCACCACCGCCACCAGCACCACTTGCACCACCACCAGCACCACTTGCACCACCACCACCACCGCCACCACCACTTGCACCACTTGCACCACCGCCACCGCCGCCACCACGCACACGCCACAGCCGTCCCAGGCCCGGGCCAAGTGCTTGAGAGCCGAATGATTTCCTTGCATTTGGCATCATTTCGAGACACCCCCCCCCTTCTAAACCAGTGACGTTTTAAATGTTATCAACTGGGATATTGTCTATAAATTCGAAAGAAAGTTAATAACTATGCACACTATTTGTAATTTAACATTTTTGTGGATTGTATTTACCTCAAAGATCGTATTGAAATTTGTTTTTATTGGTTTTTTTTAAATTGCAAATGTGTATTGATCAATTAAGGTATAAGCTAGCCAGTGATTACACTGTACATACGGATATACAGATAATGCATACACGCTATAAAATAGCACTTCACGCTGCAGATATATTACATTGCTTTGCCAAATAATGAAGTACTCTTTAGCGTCGAACAATAATTATATATGTTGTAGAAGCGGCTTTCAGTCATTGAATTGTATCACTATGGAAATGTTTCTTAATGAAGTAAAATTATACTGCGAGCCTAATGACAAGATGTGTGACATAGTCTCAGCTACAGTTTGTAGCTCTGGGATGCAGATTCAGAAATTTGAATGTTTCTCTTGACAATTGAAATATCTGATGTAATGTAAAGCAAGAAGAATTGACGATCACTTTGTCCATCAGCATAATTACATGCACCTTGCTTAACATCGCGACTTAATTGGTACACGTATGCACCGGTTCAGTGCTTCTTTTGCCTTGGGAGTTTACTTTGATAGTTGTTACAAGCATTCAAAGATTCTTGTTATACAGAGCCAATGTGTAATGCATTCAATCTACAGATAACGCCTGGGTCGAGCACCCATCTCCTGTTTCAGGGGAATTGTTAGGAAAACATACATGCGTTTATTTCTTACAGCTAAGCACTCGAATTTGAATGTACTTAAATGCCAAAGCAGTTATATACTGGATTGTTTTAAGAGTAACTTTTTATCACAAGTTTTCAATAATGCCATCTTTATGTGAACTCCAGGTTTTATTTTCAATGAATTAAGCTTTGTGGGTTAATGGCGAATGCAATGCAATGTAAAGAAATGCAATAATGGAACATTGTTGTGAGAGAGTAATAGAAAGTAAAATACATAGAAATAAACAATTATGTTGTGTATATTTTAAAATAAATAATTTAATAAGCAATCGTTGCAAAAAAAAATTGGTGGTATGTGAACACATTTCGTTATTGGTCCTTGGAATGTTGTACTCTGTCATACGCATGAGGAATACCCCCAAACAATCAAGTGCCCTATTTTTATCCCGAAAACCTTTCAAATAATATTTTTGGAACATCAAAGGCTCAGTTCAGATGAGGTGGACTGACTGGGCAGCACTTGTTCATCTGTTTGGCTCTTGAAGGATGTCCTACGTGGGCAAAACGTTGAGGATTCCACTACTGTCTGTGCCAGACAAAAAAAAACATGGTGAGGTTTTTGGGTGGCAGAATGGCCGAGTGGTCACTACTTAGTGTCTTCAAAGCATCGACGCAGTTTCACGCTCGCGTTGTTACAACCAGGCGCTCTCTAATTCTTTTTCCGTGCCTGAAGAGTTACGGCCATTTATGTCTGTGAAATTGTGTGCGTTTTACAAGTTGTATTTTATCATTATTATTACCGGTATGGTTCAGAAACAGTGTCATGAATGAAAATCTTTGCCAAGAAGCGTGGCGAGATGCGTGCTTGTAAAGTTTCTACGAATAGTGCATTTTTTCCAAAACGTTATCCGTGTGCTTATTGGAGACATTTGATAACTCTTTGAAATAACACACTTGATGTTATTCTTGAGATCAAACTATTTTTCGCAAGTGTTTAGGAGCTCTCACAACTTATTTTAAATTGTAATGGTAATGTGGTCAACATCTCTGAGGGTAAAGTAACCCTCGCTGAATATTTTAGACGGAACAAGAAGACACTGAGATATAGCATTCATTTTACAAAGCATATTTATCAATACGCAAGAGGAAATGTGAAATTTCAAGGGATATGCAGTCACAAAAAAATATGAATCAATCATTTTTAGTATTTCGTGGGCTTTTTAGCCCACGTATGATTCTGTATTATAAAAGAATAATCCTCGTGAAACAAACTAAAACTTGTTTAGGTTACATCCCTCTATTTCTTTTTAAACATTCACAATCATCAACATGTGTGTGCTAACGTTAAGAAAAAAACGCCACTTGTTTCAAATGTTCTTGCTATGGTTTTCACACCTGATGATGATTGCTTGTGTTGCAATCGAAACGTCGTGAGAATTAAATTTTTATTATTTTATTATTTCCCTTCTACGTGACTTTACCGAAAGAACCAAGAATATGTGTGCTGTTGAATATAAGTAAACTACATCACGTATGCAGCATACACTAATTCAACAGTAATTAAAACATATCAAAATACCAAGAGCCAAAACACCATTCCTCAATGTGCTCAACATAGAATATCAAGATCCGACTTAAAATACAAAAAGTGCGCATATACCACGCACTTGACTTTGACGGCAATGCGCGACTGAGTCTGGAACACGGCTATGAATGTGGCTTCGCCAACTCTTCTGTGATCGCTCCTGGCAGCACTGCGGACGAATGTCAAGCCGCGTCGTTCACCTCCAACACTCGCCCTCTCCCTGCCGCGTCTCGCCAAGTGCTGGGCGCTGGTGTCGGGCTGCTGGGGAAGTTCGACGCACGTGTCATCGCGGCGTAACATGCAGCACGATGAGATGAATGTCTTCTTGGTTCTTTCGGTAAAGTCGCGTAGAAGGGAAATAATAAAATAATAAAAATAAAACATTATACAATAATATAATAATATAATTATTTTATTCACGTAGAAGGGAAATAATAAAATAATAAAAATAAAACATTATAAAATAATATAATAATATAATTATTTTATTCACGTAGAAGGGAAGTAATAAAATAATAAAAATAAAACATTAAATAATTCTCACGACGTTTCGGCCACAACGCAAGCAGCCGTCTTCAGGTGGAAAACAGGTCTGTCGAGAAGGCAGTCAGACCTGTTTTCCACCTGAAGACGGCTGCTTGCGTTGTGGCCGAAACGTCGTGAGAATTATTTTGTTATGTTTTATTTTTATTATTGTATTACTTCCCTTCTACGTGACTTTACCGAAAGAACCAAGAAGATGAATCCCTGCAGTCACGAAAGCTTTAAATCGAGAGATGAATGTGTTTTTAATGTCACCGCCAGTGTGGCATCTGGTAATCTGCCAGGAGATGTGTGTACACCGCTGCTATTAATGTTCTGCTGCTGAATTCTCCATTTACGGTATATGTGCACGCATCCTTAGCTAATGGCAATTATTTTAAGCGATTGCTTTGTAGAGGACTGCACTACTTTCAAACCATATCATTACCGAAGTATATCGCTGTACTTATTCATTTCCCTTATTTCGTTGTTGCTGTGATCACGCACCACGGATCTCCCGTGTAAAATAGCCGGACAACTGGCCACACGGCCAAATGAAACAAACAAACAAACACTAAGGTATGTAATTAATCTTTTCCATGTTTCATGACCACCATTGTGTGAAAGCAATGCAAACATTAATCATCATCAGCCATGTTTAATCCACTGCTGGATGAAGGCATCCCCACAGCATCACCATTCCAGGCAGTCCTACCAAGGCGCTATTTCATTCTTCAATATGTTTCATCCTTTGGCTGCCATTCTGTCACCAGTCTCGTCTCTTGGCCATCAACCTGCCCCAGCATACTTTCCCGAACAGTCAATACGATGCCACGAAATTATGTTATTTTTTTATGTCAGATCCATGTGTTCCATTACCTGTCTCTCACTGTCCATGTTTTTGACGCATGTGTCACTATAGCAGGTAATGTAATGTGCACCAATTGATATTGACAGCTTTCTTTTTTAAGCTCATTGCTTTGCAGATTCCCATGGCCGTATTCAGTTCCCCAAAGGCACTTCATCCTGGTCTCGCTTGTCGATCTACATAAAACAACAACCGTGGCTGTCTCTGTTGTTTTGCTGTGTGTGTTTCTGTGGCTTCCCGACAACTTTAATCTTGAGTCCAAACCGGCAGCCTTCTTTGTTAACTTCCTGTATTTCATTGCTTCTGGACTCAAATATGTTGTCAATGCATTTTAACAATCTAGAAAGGCGGGCATAATGCTACTTGAAATTAAATTGTCTTTCCTAGGACTGATTGATAGTATATGTATGGTAAATAGTATAACGTATTATAGATTGTGCTCATAGGGTTGGTTGGCTTATAAATTGGCCATGATATGGCTGTCTATGATCTCCGTGGACAATTTATTTACCAGTGGAGGATAATGGGTCTTGAATTCGTCAAATCATTCCCTCGTTTAATCTCAAGAAGAATGTTTACATAATTCCACACTTTGTGCGTTTTATGCCTGTAAACGTTTAGACAATTTCTACGCTATTTTAGTTTTTCCAGGTGGTTCCATTTATTTTATGACTGCCACAGTTATACCATCTTCTGCAGGAGTTTCCCACCTTCAGGCTGAGACATGCAGTGTGGTTATTTCATGAAGTGTGACATCTGGAACGTGTCATCTGAACAATATTTTTTTCCCAAGTTAAACTAGTTTTGTATAAATCTACATACAATTACCCCGCTAATTGTATAATGTTTTCTCTACCATGCATTATTTGTTCCATCTTACTCTCTCAGGACCACTCTAATGGCCACGGTTTGTAAAGTAATAGTAATCAATATCCTGTTTGCTTCTGTCATGCTCCCATGATTTATTATGATGACATCTCAAATTACTTTTGTGTTTTGTTCTGTGCATTCTATGTTTGAGAACTATTTTCATTACCTCATTTAAAATACCCACCGTCAGCTTCAGAGTGAACAATAAATATCCCGTAACATCATTCCAAATGACGAGGACATTGTGTGCCATCGTCACGGTCCAAATTTACCAAATGTAAAAAATCACACTGCAAATTGCTTCATTGGGATTACACATGGCAGCAATCGATGCTCACTACTGGCAGACTGATGCCAAGTTGGAGGCCGGGTGCTAAGTCACCGTGTGCTGCACAGAGACAGCTGCCACTGGGGGTTCCTATTAAAAGATGGAACTGCCTTATCAACATACAGTTCATCGCGCGTTGTTGGGACATGTTTACATGTCTTTCTTGTTGTAGTTTTAGTCTTCATGTTAGCAGGGCAACTATAACTTTTATAATGAATGATAATTTATACATTTCCTCTACAGACTGTCTACAACTTACGTAAAAAAGTAATATTTTGTTGTGTATATATCTATGAAACCTCAAGTAGATATTGCAAAGTTGTTTTCTTTTGACAATTTAATATATCTCTCCACGATTCCTACCTTACCTTGCCAATCCACGGTAATGGAATAGAATTTTTTTACGAAATTATTTAAGCAGAAACCCCATTTGAAGACGAGTAATTTAGTAGAATGTGGAAGAGTTGGCCAAATATAATCGAGGGCCTCTAGAAGCCCCTTGTGTGGAAGTCCGTCTGCCAGCGGTGGAATGAGCAAGCAATTGCAGGGCTGCCCCGTTATAATTTGCTGAAATGATTTGCATGTATTAATGATTGGAAGCTTTTTTTTTCTCCATTCAAGAAGATACATTATATGAAGGCGATCAACTTTTGAGCAGTTATGCTTTCATCAGCAATGGACATTGCTACTTTTTGATATATGTTTTTGCTGCCCGCTATACCTTCAACGCGTCTTTATGTATTCAGAAAAGCGGCTTCTTAAACACATTTTGAGAAAACCGCGCGGTCGTTTGCACAACTAAAAGTCATCATTAGATATTCGCTGCGTGATTCATAAACAGCTACAGCTTGCACACATAACACGGATACTATCCGTGTATGTACAGTTATTTGCAGACTCACTGCGATTAATGTATTAACCGGACTTTGGCACTTATCAGCAAAAATAGGTTTCATGCCTTAGTGAGCTGCAAATCCAAAACTTAAATGCAATAAAAAAAATACCGCCCTACTGTATATATGTAATACATACGAACTATAACGAGAATGTATTTTATATTTGCTGTGTATTCCTTCTCTAAATTATTTCTAATTTATCTTAATATGCTTTCAGAATACGAGATTAAACACAAACATCACTGGGGCTAACACGAAAAAACATTGAGAATATTTTTTTGTCTATTATTTGAAGCACGTACCTTAAAACAGGCATCTAAAGTCATGCATTTTAATCAGCATATACATTTAAAAAAATCAGTTTTATATTTGTATCATGTTACATAACGAATGTGTACAAAATGTAGACAGGAAATATAAACGTATCCATTGCAATCCAGTTGTAATCCAATGGATTACAATGATCGTGAGACGAGCAGGACAAGCTGGGTTGTAGCAGTACAGCAAATAGGTGGCTAACGTATCTATATTGCTGAGCAACATACTTTTGTATGTGTGTGTGTGTGTATACTGAACACTGATTTATTCCCACGTGGAACATACACCACAAGGGAGGTAATCAGCATGCCGGACAGGGAGCTGCAGATGAGCCTGTTAGTACCTCTGGTGGGAACATCTCACGGCTAAGAATGCAGTTCGAATATGTGCCGTGCAGGCAAGGAGTACGCTTGCATTATACAATTAATACATTTAATGAGCTGTTTATAAGCAAGATTGAGGATGGGGAAATATACAAACTCATTTCCTTAAATTGCAGTTCAACCCAAATACCATTCCCATGGTGCATTTTCACTTTCCCACCAAATGGATCCTCATTTTGAGTTCCCAAATGTGCCCTTGGACAGCTGTTACAATAAGCACTCCCATTCCCTTCAGCGATGTCCTCCGAGTGGCTTACGTCATTAAAATATGCCGACGTAAACCTTAGCCAAGAGGGCAATTAAACCATGGGCTCTGATTCAAGCAGACACATTATCAACATTATTGGCTAATTCCCCGTGCACTGTTTCATCAACGTCGTCAAAGGGTGCTCATGCAAGATGACATGGCCTTCAACTCTGATCGCCTTCTGAGACAAATCAGACTCAATTCCTTGCCACTGCGGTCTTGCATAAGGTGCGGCAATGCAATTGCGTGCTCGTGTCACTGCTGGCAGAAGGGGACTCCACTCGATGGAGCTCTCAAAAGGAAATGTTGCCTACCCTTTCACGTTGGTTAGAGGAGCCACACTTTACTTCACTAACATGTGACCTGCCGATGGAGACTGAACCCAGTTTTTACTGGTGGGTTAACAGGAGCGATTCAATGGTTACGATTTTAGTTACAATTTGATTCCTGAAGAGATGTGCATTGCTTTGCCGTTGTGGTGACTACAGGGTATTCGTGAACCGGTTACAAGGAACAGTTTACACACCACGCTGTTTACTCATCGATTCTCGCACGTACAATACAATGTGCATGTAAAATAGATTTGTTTTGGCAATGTGGTATTTGATTTTCAGTTTATACATTTTCTAGCAGTCTCGAATAATCTTGGGAAATCTTACCTGTAGTTATCCCTGCCTATCGTGAACAACCCCCATCCATCCACTACATCCTGCAGCAAAGGTCAAACAGGGTCTCGAAAGATATTACGCCATCACTTAATCTCAAGCGAGGGTGACAGCCCCATCCTGGAAACTGA